TGAATGGAGGCGGGGTGGAGTTATGAGGTTTGACTGACAATTTGAGGATCCAATGGCATTACGAGGTTTAGTCACAAGCTCTTTTGAATGCTTTTCATTGGTTAAATATTTGTAAAACCCACAAACCGACATAATGACCAATAGCACTGATTTAAAATAATAACGAAATATAATAGAGATAAGGAAGTTTTTGATAATTTTCCATGGCACACCCGACAACAGTGGCTGGGAAACACTGTTTTAACATTAATTTATATTTAAGTCAGTGATTCCTCTGCCTACCACATGAGGGAGACCCCACACTTTGAAAATCAGTGTTCTAGTAGATTCTTACTAGTAGGTCTTGCTATATTTGAGCAACATGAGGATAACAGTTTTTTTCAGAATGGAGTAAAATGCAGGAGTTTTGAGAGGTGCTTTTAGAAGATAGACTGTTTACATGACGTCTTAATCTCAATAATCATTGGGAAGCAATGCATTTGGCAAAGATCATCTATTGTGTCTAATCATCTATTGCTGTAGCTGGGGTGCTTTTAAGGGTTTTAACTTTATTGAAAGAGTTTTATCGTGAGCTGTTCGTAATGTCAATGTATATTGTGCTTTAATCGTTTTGTTATAACATATCTCTATTGTATATGCATTTGAAGTTCTCATAAAATACTCTGACATTTCATAAGTTAAATGTTCTATCTTAAGACGGACACAGTTTTTGTTTTATCCAGCTTTACTTAGTGCAACTTATAACATCCAAATGAAAGATATAACACCAACATGTCATACAAAAATAAAAAAAAATGAATCACTGAGTTGGAAAAAGGATCACCCCCTCCTAAAAATGACTTGTAAACTCAATCAGGTGTAGCTGATCCCCTTCTCAATGGAACACAAAGCCATATGATTTTCAACTGTGATCCGCTGTGGTCATTTTGATTAACTCAGCATGAAAAGAGCTTTCCTGGAGCATTTCAGTCCTTGGTAGTGCAACTGAAGCAAACAATCAACTATGGGTGGCAAGGTACTGTCAAAAGATCTATGGGATAAAGTTGTGACAGGCACAAGTCAGGAGATGTAGACAAAAAAATTCAAAGGCTTTATCAATGCCTAGAAGCACAGTGAAGTCTATTATTAAGAAGTGAAATTGAATTATTTGGCCTCAACACCAAACAATATGTCTGCCGGAAATCCATTACAGCCCTAAAAATTACTTGTAAACTCAATCAGGTGTAGCTGATCACCTTCTCAATGGAACACAAAGCCATATGATTTTCAACTGTGATCCCAATACAGCTCACCATCTAAATAACAGCATTCCTACAGTAAAGCATGGAGGTGGTGATATCCTGTTATGGGGTGTTCCTCTGCAGCAGGTACTGGAGCACTTGTCGGGATTAAAGGAAAAATGGATGGGGCAAAATACCGTCAAATTCTTGAGGAAAATCTGCTGCCTTCTGCCAGAAAGTTGTCAATGGGAAGAAGGTTTACCTTCCAACATGACAATGACCCAAAGCACACAGCAAAACTGAGCAAGAGGAAAATGAGAAACAAGAGACCAAAAAATGCAGATGAGCTGAAGGCCACTGTCAAAGAAACCTGGGCTTCCATACCACCTCAGTAGTGCCACAAACTGATCACCTCCATGCTACGCCGAATTGAGGCAGTAATTAAAGCAGAAGGAGACCCTACCAAGTTATTGAGTACATGTACAGTAAATGAGCATACTTTCCAGAAGGCCAACAATTCATTAAAAATGTTTTTTTTTATTGGTCTTATGGAGTATTCTAATTTGTTGAGATAGTGAGTTGGTGGGTTTTTGTTAAATGTGAGCCAAAATCATCACAATTAAAAGAACCAAAGACTTAAACTACTTCAGTCTGTGTGCATTGAATTTATTTAATACACGAGTTTCACAATTTGAGTTGAATTACTGAAATAAATGAACTTTTCCACGACATTCTAATTTATTGAGATGCACCTGTATATAGTGTTTGTGTGGTGTACTATTTGCATGAGATTTTGCTGTTAAATTTCATTGATTGAAGCAGTAAGTGAATGACTTCACAGGCCTTTGTGTGTCTTTCTAAAGACTTTTTTCCAATTATTTGCAGATTGGGGAGAATCATTTTTTAATCAGACCTGTGATGAACAGTATTTCTTGCATCCATATCATTGTGTTATAAAGTCATTAAAACATATTATGCATGTCAGTAATATTATATAAGACTTTTAATGGTCACTTAATAAAGCCCATTGTGTAATACACCAGCACTATAGACCAAATTCTCCTCACCCAGGGTCCTAGCTGCTGAAAGGAACTGCAGCTGAAAAAACAAACAGCAGACCTGTGATACAGGATGCAGCATGATGCTTAATTTAGTTTGTGGAATGCAAATGTGCATAAATATCTAACCAGTCTGTTGTTTTATTTTATTTGGGTATTTTATTATTGTTATAATTTTTTTATGTTTGCTTTTGATTGGAATTTTCTTGCAGAGGGGAATCAGGTGCTGGAAAGACAGAAAACACCAAAAAAGTCATCCAGTACCTGGCTCACGTTGCATCCTCTCACAAAGGAAAGAAAGACCACAACATTCCAGTGAGTTCATTTCTCTCAGCCTTTCACTGAATCATTACTTTTGACCTTCTTGTTAAATTCCACCAATGATATAGGTGTGGAAGGATATGTGGGTATATTTTGGGAAACTGCCACACCTCAGTAGGTGGCAGTACTGAGCAGGATAGGGTGATGAGGCTTGCAGGTTAAAAACTAGTTAATTAGATGAATATGCAACATAACTAGGCCTACATATTTTCAATTAATTATTCGGGTTTTAAGAAACCCCTATAAAATTAGGCTTCTTCTGACTCTGATCAGGTGTTTCTTTAGGTGGTGTTTACATAAGATAACAGAATAGAAAAAAATTGAGAAGTCCTGAGTAACACTTAAAAAAAAAAAAAAAGAGTAGGATGCGATACAGTTTGCAAAGACATCGGTCTTGTCATCCATTGCTATAGCAGGGGTGCTTTTAGGTATCTTGACTTTCTTCAAGAGTGTTTTACAAATGGCTTGTTAGACAAATAGTCAGTTGTTAAAACTATTCTGTACTGCATTTACAGTTGAAGCTCTTTAATTCAAACTCTTTAATTTGTAATGTCTTACAAGTAATCTATTTTATTTTAGACACGTTAGTTACAATGACATCAGGGTGCTTTTACTGGAAGACTAATTTTAACCAAATTAACATACATCAGTGGATAACATGCATTTGTATGTCAGTGATAGTGTTGTGTGTAGATTCTAATGTACTGATAATGTTGTCTAGATGATCATCTAGTAATAACTGCTGGCTCTTAACCATGTGTAAGTATTACACGTGGGCCTACATTGAGAAAACATCTTAGTGGCTGTAGTGCTGGCCTGTAGTTTGCCATCTTTGTGCAGTTTTACCGATCTCTTAATGTATGATAACGGGTATTACCTTCAAAACTATATGAAAGCACGCTGAAGAGTTTTACATGCTGTAGTCTTTGGTCTTAATGTATTTGCATGGCCAAATATATACAACAAACCAAAGGCCCAGATCTGTCCCATGGTCTAAGACACTTGGAGAATGTGGCCCTGATTCCTTCTAACATATTACATTTGTTTATTATATACAAACAGCCAGAATCTCCTAAAGCAGTCAAACTCCAGGCAAGTTCCCTTTAAGCTTTTTATACCTGCTCTGCTTGTGCATGCAAAACTAACCTGCTATAAAAACACCAATGGAATATAGCCAATCCGAGGGGAAATTTTCAGCACTTTGAGATATTTTTGATACAAGTAAACACATTGCTTTAAGGGGTTTGGGTGGTTTACTTTAAATAGTTTGTACACATTTTGTCACATTTGCTAAATGGTTTTGAATGTATGCACTCTATCCTTCAGAATATGAAGGGTTATTTTCACCATGCTTAGTGCTGGATAAAACATATTAGAGATTAACCTAGTTAACTTGTCAGGATAGCTGGGGGCATAGTGATATATTTGCATGATGTGAAATCTGACATTTTAATGTCATTTTCATAGTTGTATGAAAGTTAAGAGCTGATCATGTACAACCTGACCTGATGTCTAAGATATGTTAAAAAACAACAACAAATGAAACAGTGTTTTTAGCACCACACATAACGGTCAGTTCTGTTATTTAGACCAGTAACATTCTAAATCAGCAAAAGCCTCACTCACAAACTGAGAGTGTGCCTTTCACATAAATTCACAACACATTTTGTTCTGCTTTTAAATCACCCCTTGCTTGTGTGTGTTTTGTCTGTCGTGTGTTTGTGTGTTTCCCTCTATGTGACATTAACACCTCTGTTTCCATGATAATGATTTGATTACAGAACGGAATCCTGTTTTATGTGAGTAGCTTGTAGTTCCTTGTTTTATTCCCCTGTTTTCTTTATATCTCACACCATTCTTTGGGCATAGGAAACTGTCATTTTTGTTCATTTTACTCTCTCATCTTTTATTTGTTTTTACTAACGACTTCTCAGTCTTCCGTATAACAACTGCTTGCTTAATTATTTCTTCTGTTCTCTGTGGATCCAATTTACTATACTTTTGCGGGTGATGTCAAGTAATTCACATGTCTGTAAAACTTTACACTGTGCTGTATTTAAAAATACTGCATGATGGTGCAGTGGTCGCAGTGTTGAATTCCCATTTCTTAAATCACATTTTACTCTGCTCGGTGCAGTTGGAAAGTTCTGGAATGTCCATTTACAAAGAGCTGCTCAAATTCCAGTAGTTCTTGGCATACCTTCTATAATGATGAAAGTACCTTTTTGACAATCTTTTCAGCCCTTCATTTGCTAGAACTTGTCATTGCTAATGCAATTTTGTCATACTACTTCAATGGTTATTTATCTCCTATTTAGATGAGAGCAAAACATGTTACTGCTTGTATAAAGTTTCATCACTAAGGCTTTTTAAAAATTCGTCATTATAACTTTAGTTTACTGACTTTTGTCTGTCTCTCAGATACACCCAGATATGTTTAAACAATTCAGCAACTATTCAACAGTTAAACATCTTAGTCTATTTATACGCTTTTTATAATATTACATTTCCATAAGCGTGAAAATTGTAAATCTTTAAACCACAAAATTCTCTGGACTTTATCCACTAATATTATGCCGTGTTGTGTTCCTGTCTCATGACAACAGTAAGAACAATGGGACACCTGTCTAAACTTCCTATCAGGTGGACGTGAACAACACTGAGGGTGGCTAGAGTATGTAAGGGGGTGGATGTCCCAGATTTGTTGCTCGGGGGGCTGTGATGCAGACTAACTCTGTGATGTGTGGCACAGTGGGGCTTTGGGCGTCTGTCGTTGCTAATTTGAGGAGTTTCCTCTCCAACCCCACAATGCCTGTATTTCAGGCAGTCAGTGAGAATTTGCACTAAAAGCCTCTCATGGCTTCCCAGGGTTTAATTAGGTTTGTAGGGTAGTGTATTTTTACTCCATCCAGATGATCTGCTTCTGGTTTGAGGGTCAAATGAAGAGAAATGGCTTTGCTATGGAAGCAAGCTGATCGCTGTTAGCCACACCATCTCAACAAAATACTGTGAAGAATGCTGTAAATAAATGGTATTTGTGATCAAGATGATATGGAACATTTAAAGGGATAGTTCACCCACAAATGAAAATTCTGTCATTAATTACTCACCCTTATGTCGTTCCAAACCCGTAAGACCTTCGTTCTTCTTCGGAACACAAATTAAGATATTTTTGATGAAACCCGAGAGCTTTCTGATCCTCTATAGACAGCAACGCAACTACCAAGTTTAAGGGCCAGAAAGGTAGTAAGGACATCGTTAAAATAGTCCATGTGACATCAGTGGTTCAACCTTAATTTTATGAAGCTATGAGAATACTTTTTGTGCACAAAGAAAGCAAAAAATAACCACTTTATTCAACAATTTCTTCTCTTCCGTGCCAGTCTTCGATGCGTGTTCACAACAGTACCATGGCGCATTCGTGTGCATTCCTCTGCTTGTAAATAAGGCGCAGCACATGTGTGTTCTATGTCAGAACGCCGGCTCCTGCATCAGCAGCACCACACGCATGCGTTGTGGTACTCTCATGAACACGCATCGAAGACTGAGACGGAAGAGAAAAAAATCTTTGAATAAAGTCGTTATTTTTGTTTTTTTTGCACACAAAAATTATTCTGGTAGCTTCATAAAATTAAGGTTGAACCACTGATGTCACATGGACCATTTTAACGATGTCCTTACTATGGCCCTTGAACGTGGTAGTTGTGTTGCTGTCAGAAAGCTCTCGGATTTCATCAAAAATATCTCAATTTGAAGATGAACAAAGGTCTTACAGGTTTAGAACGACATGAGGGTGAGTAATTAATGACAGAATTTTCAGTTTTGGGTGAACTATCTCTTTAAGTTTAGAGTTAGTCATCCCACTCCAACACTTATGTGAGTTAAAAAGGGGATGTTAAAAAAGACCTTACTAATGATTAGGGCTGGGGTTTGACACAAATTTCACGATTCGATTCTCATTCACAAGCTTTCGATTCGATTACCAATTCGATTCGATTCAATATCAATTAATTTGGATATATATATCAGGTACAGTACATGCCAAATTTTTTCAAGGGGAAAAAAAATCTCTCAACTAATGCTGTAAAATATACATGAGAGTCAGTTGGTACTACATTACTATAATACTGAAGGTTAAAATTGACTGATTTGTTAAAATTACACTTAATGAAGTTTTTAAAATAATAAAGTTACAATTACATATTTCTACTTCAATTCGTTTTTTTTTTTATATAAACAGTGGCTGTCATAAAAACTTGATGGATTTATTCAAACATAAATTAAACATTGAAGAACAGTCAAATTTATAATGAATATGTTATATATGGTGCTTATATTTAGCAAAATGCCCCTCTCTACAGTTTATTTTTCTATCTGACTAATGAGTTTATGGTCACCGAATATGTTTTTCTGAGGTAAATGTGACGTTACGTGACATTGTTTACAAGACATTATAGGCCTATTGACGTCTTTGCGCAGCTGAAACACTGATTGAGCGATTACATGAGACAGAATACGGATTGTAAAGTTGTACTCTTTCTTTTAACTTACCTTCGGATGTTTAGTCATGTTTATTGTTTATGTGCTGAAACTGGTATTAATGTGGAGGAGATGATCAGTTCACGTGCGCCTCGCGCTGCCGCGTCTGTTGAACTGAGGCGCTACAGCGATCACTCCACATTAAACAGTGCCAAAACGGCATTTATTGTTTGAATACTGCAATACAATGGACAGAATTTGAAATCTGAGACTGTTTTATTTTAAAAGTACCAAAGCACAATGCTTATTGCGATTTAATGGATGGGAAGTGCCCTTCAGTGTTCCGTCCTTTAACTGAAAACAGGCTAGACTAATCGATTCTTGGGATTTGAGAATCGATATCGTTCCGAAAAAATGAGAATCGATTAATATCGAGATATCGATATTTTTTACCCAGCCCTACTAATGATACAGACTAACCCAAGGTGATCTGCAGTATGCTGTTATAAGGTAATATGTTTGTAAAATACAAAAATGTTTGTCTTTGCTTTCGTTCTGTTTTATTGCTGTTAAGTAGAACATTTTCACTGGGTTTCTTTTCAAGATTTCACAAACATTATTTTATGGCTTTTTAGTTATACACACTACCTTTGAACTTTAAAGTTCATTTTGTATCTGTTCTTTTATAAAACTTCATTTAATCATATATTTTAATAATTGGTATTTCTAATCAGTGACTTTTGCATTACAGGGAGAGTTAGAGCGTCAACTCCTGCAGGCAAACCCTATTTTGGAATCCTTTGGGAATGCCAAGACAGTGAAAAATGACAACTCTTCACGCTTTGTAAGTCTAATCTGATACTTCCGCATCTGTTTTTTATACTGTAACATTATTCTAAAGGGTCTTTGTGACGAGAGGGGCGGGGCCGAGAGCCGTGGGAACGGAGCGAGGCCGGTGGAGTAAATGCTAATGCGTGACATCTGCACCACTCACCGGTCTCGAGTCCCACGGATAATGCACGACACCTGCACCACTCACCGGTCTCGAGTCCCACGGAGGAGCTCCGGAAGGATAAAAGGAGGAGTGACGACAGTGTTGGACGAGAGAGGACCAGGCCTGGACTTTATTTTGTGTTTTGGTTCTGTTTGTGCGTGACAGTCGTCCGTGAGGGGCTGACGCGCTATTTTGTGTTTATTTTATTATTAAAGTTTCGTTTGAATGTTCGCCGGTTCCCGCCTCCTTCTTCCCGTGACTACGAACTGTGTTACAATCACTTTTTACAATGCATATATGTGACCCTGGACCACAAAACCAGCCATAATTTAGATTTATATACTTTCTGAAAGCTGAATAAATAATCTTTCCATTGATGTATGGTTTGTTAGGATAGGACAACGCGCCACTGATGACGCTCCCTGATGCACACCTAACATTCAAATGCAAATGTTTATTTTAAATTCGACCAATATTCCTTCTTTATTCACAATCTCCTCATCACAGGCAGGCACAGCACTCATTTCAGCATGTGTTCGTGTTTGTGTGTGCTGTCTGCATCACTCATAGTACGTGCCTATATTGTGCGCTATATCGAACATTTTTTATATCGTTATCGAAGAAGGTGTACCGTCGATAAATATCGATACCGTTTTATCACCCAGGCCTACATATATTCACAGCACATTTTGTTCAGCTTTTAAATCACCCCTTGCTTGTGTGTGTTTTGTCTGTCGTGTGTTTGTGTGTTTCCCTCTATGTGACATTAACACCTCTGTTTCCATGATAATGATTTGATTACAGAACGGAATCCTGTTTTATGTGAGTAGCTTGTAGTCCCTTGTTTTTTCCCATTTTCTTATATCACGCTACTTCTTTGGGCATAGGAAACTGTCATTTTTGTTCATTTTACCCTCATCTTTTATTTATTTGTTTTTACTAACGACTTCTCATTCTGCCATATAACATCTACCTTCTTAATTATTCTTTTCTGTTCTCTGTGGATCCAATTTACTATACTTTTGGGGGTGATGTCAAGTAATTTACATGTCTGTAAAACGTAAAATTTAAAAAAAATACTGCATGATGGTGCAGTGGTCGCAGTGCTGAATTCCCATTTGTCAGATCACATGTTACGCTGCTCCATCCATGCAGTTGGAAAGTTCTGGAATGTCCATTTACAAAGAGCCCTGCTACAAAGAGCAGCTTGAATGCCAGTAGTTCTTGGCATACTTTCTATAATGATGAATACCTTTTTGACTTAATCTTATCAGACCTTCATTTGCTAAAAATTACCATTGCTAATGCAATTTTGTCATACCACTTCAATGGTTAATTTATCTCCTGTTTAGATGAGAGTGGAACCTGTTATTTTCTCATAAAGCTTCATCACTAATCCTTTTTAAAACTTCATTGCATTGTTCTGACTTTAGTTACTGGTTTTCTCAGATACACCCAGATATGTTTAAACAATTCAGCATCTGTTCAACAGTTAAACATCTTGCAGTCTATTTATAGGCTTTTTATAATATTACATTTCCATAAGCGTGAAAATTGTAAATCTTTAAACCACAAAATTCTCTGGACTTTATCCACTAATATTATGCCGTGTTGTGTTCCTGTCTCATGACAACAGTAAGAACAATGGGACACCTGTCTAAACTTCCTATCAGGTGGACGTGGGCAACACTGAGGGTGACTGGAGGATGTAAGGGGGTGGATGTCCCAGATTTGTTGCTGGGGGAGCTGTGATGCAGACTAACTCTGTGATGTGGCACAGTGGGGCTTTGGGCGTCTGTCGTTGCTAATTTGAGGAGTTTCCTCTCCAACCCCCCAAAGCCTGTATTTCAGGCAGTCAGTGAGAATTTGCACAAAAAGCCTCTCATGGCTACCCAGGCTTTAATTAGGTTTGTAGGGTAGTGTATTTTTACTCCATCCAGATGATCTGCTTCTGGTTTGAAGGTCAGATGAAGAGAAATGGCTTTGCTATGGAAGCAGACTGATCATTGTTAGCCACACCATCTCAACAAAATACTGTGAAGAATACAGTAAATAAATGGTATTTGTGATCAAGATGATATGGAACTTTTGAGTTTGGAGTCAGTCATCCCACTCCAAAACTTGTGTATTAAAAAGTGGATGTAAATAAAGACCTTACTGATTATACAAACTAACCCAAGGTGATCTGCAGTATACTGTTTTAAGGTAATATATGCTCAAATGTTTGTAAAATTGGAAATGTTTCTCTTTGCTTTCACTCTGTTTACTGGTGAATAAATGGAACATTTTCACTGGGTTTCTTTTCAAGATTTCACAAACATTATTTTATGGCTTTTTAGTTATACACACTACCTTTGAACTTTAAAGTTCATTTTGTATCTGTTCTTTTATAAAACTTCATTTAATCATATATTTTAATAATTGGTATTTCTAATCAGTGACTTTTGCATTACAGGGAGAGTTAGAGCGTCAACTCCTGCAGGCAAACCCTATTTTGGAATCCTTTGGGAATGCCAAGACAGTGAAAAATGACAACTCTTCACGCTTTGTAAGTCTAATCTGATACTTCCGCATCTGTTTTTTATACTGTAACATTATTCTAAAGGGTCTTTGTGACGAGAGGGGCGGGGCCGAGAGCCGTGGGAACGGACCGAGACCGGTGGAGTAATTGATAATGAGCGACACCTGCACCACTCAACGGTCTCGAGTCCCACGGAGGAGCTCCGGAAGGATAAAAGGAGGAGTGACGACAGTGTTGGACGAGAGAGGACCAGGCCTGGACTTTATTTTGTGTTTTGGTTCTGTTTGTGCGTGACAGTCGTCCGTGAGGGGCTGACGCGCTATTTTGTGTTTATTTTATTATTAAAGTTTCGTTTGAATGTTCGCCGGTTCCCGCCTCCTTCTTCCCGAACTACGAACTTTGTTACATTGGTGCCGAAACCCGGGAGGAAGGAGGGACACGCTGCCAGAGAGCCCTCGCCACTGTGTTGATTCCATGGTGTCATCGAGCATGGCGGAGCAGTCTGCCCCATGGACGCTCGAGGCGGTGGGCTGGAGTGAGTTGCCGGGTTGGGCCGTCCGCCAAGGGGCATCCAGTGCCGCCGCCAGGCATCGCGGAAGAGGTTACCCAGCTGGTGGAGGGCCGAGCGGCAGTGTGTCTGGGAATCGGAACAAGATTTTTTTTTCCCCCCTCTCTCCCCTCTCTCGTCTCTCTCTTACATTATCCCAAATGTTTCGAAGAATGTTTAAATTAGAGAGAAATAAGCAATTTTAACTAGTGACACGGACCGTGTCCATAGTGTCATTGTGTCGCCTGCCAATGACGTCATAACCCCTCGATTTCCGGTTTTGTTTTGTAGAAAACATTGAAACACCAAAGACGCTTTAATATGTTGTGCGTTTTATTAGACCGGTGACGACCGCACAGAGTAGCATAATAACAGAGCTTTCAAATGTATCTAGTATGAGAAAACAGCGCTGCTTTTTTCCCCCCCACATACGCACGACCGGAAGGAGCGGAAGCGGTCGACTGTGGCATAATAAAAGCTCCGCTGCTTTCAAGCCGCGTGTCACGCTCGTTCAGCGGCCTCGTTTTGCTTCGACGGCGTTCAGCCTCACCCTGCTTCATTCTACTACGTTAATAAATCATTAGCTCATCCATGAACATGATTTCTGCCCGAGTCCCGTCGGATTGCATCGGCTGTGGGGATAAAAACGACAACTCCCATGATTCCACACTCAGTCACAGCGTCATCAAGCTAGGCCTTTGTCTATTTGTTTATTTTGAATACGTGTGCCACGCTCATTCAGCGGCCTCGTTTCGCTTCGACAACTTTCAGCCTCACCCTGCTTCATTCTACTACGTTAATAAATCATTAGCTCATCTATGAACATGATTTCTGCCCGAGTCCCGTCGGATTGCATCGGCTGTGGGGATGAAGACAACAACTCCCATGATTCCACACTCAGTCACTGCATCATCAAATTACACCTTTGCCTCTGTTTATTTTGAATACGCGCACTCTAGCGGCAAAAATTACATATTGTGCCTTTAAATACACACATCCTGTGAGAGCTCTGATTTAATGCACAAATAAATGCACAGCCGTTTACATTTGCACTCTGCAAGGAAAATATATAAGAACAAGCTGTTGCATCTTTAATAACTTTTGTAGTTTATTTTGCGGTGTTCATGTAAGCCATATGATGGGTTGTGTCAGGAAGCCCATAAAGACCAATAACACTCACGGTGTGGATAAATTGTGTGTCGAAGACTCAAGGTCTGTAGAAAAGAATTTATGCCAAGCAGAGCCTCTTACAAAGCAAAAACAAACACTTTTGACCTATGAAAGTTTATCTCACTTACTGTACATAATCTCAGAGTTTGGTAGCGGCAGTACTGGTCCGTAGTATAGAGTCCGTGTGATCGCGAGTCTCGAAAGTGAAAGTAAAATGAGAGCGCACATTCGAAAACGGTTTCAATGCCCTGCATATTAAGGCTCCCTGATGCCCCCAATTTATATACAGTATAATTACCCAATGATATAATTGTGAGATGAAAGTATTGAAATATTTTTTTATCCTCCCATCTCGTAGGCTATTTATTCCCTTTAGGGGTTCTGTAGTACACTTAATTTCCTTTCTGAACACGGAATTGGGATGCGGTGGATTGCGGGGGGGGGGTGATCACGATGCAGGCTCAACATCGTGATGTCTGTCATCGTCTATCGGCCCAACCCTACTTTTAAGCATACAATTAAATCAACAGCCACAGAGGAATTTGTTTCTTCCTTTAGGTGATTATTTTGACGCCATTTGCTGCAAATAAGCGTGTTTGTTAGCCTTTTACGCATGCTTTAAGTACAGATTCCTTTTAAGTAGAGCTGTTTAAACAGGTGCTGCACATGATGCATGCATAAGCCCTTCTGTTAAAACGACAGAGAGACAACCATATGTTCAAATGGATTCTTAAAAATGTTGATTGGGCCTATATCTAAAGATAGTTGCAACGGCATGGTTTATAAAGCATGACCAGTATATAAGCACATCATAGAAAAAAATACACATCTTAATTATGTGTTTTTCCACAGGGCAAGTTCATCCGCATCAACTTTGATGTAACCGGTTACATTGTGGGGGCCAACATCGAAACCTGTATCCTGATCTGATAATCATTTCATTACATTTAAGCAATGCTGCAAACAGCTGTAAGATCAAATGAAATGGGTGAATTTCTGTGTGTGTCTTTATTTTTTCAGCAGAAGTAAATGTATGCAAATTGACCTTTTATGGACTTTTAGAATAGTGAAACTACTTTAAACGGTTACTATCGCTGCAGTTAAAAAACAGTTATTTATTGTATAATTAGTATGCCACAGAGAGACAACATCATAAGCTGGTTTTGATGTAAGTGTCAGAATTTTTTAATTTTATTTTACAAATAAAAATCAAATCAAACAAATTATAATGTTTGTAAATTAGTTTTATGATGTTTAAATGTCACATTTAAGTGCCACAAAAAGCTGTACAGCTGTGATTTGATGTAAACTGAAAAATGAGCTGTAAAATGGACTTTGCTTGCCCTTAACTCAGTTACAAGATCTTCTTGAAAAGTCCAGGGCCATTCGCCAAGCCAAAGATGAACGCACCTTCCATGTCTTCTACCAGCTGTTGGCTGGTGCTGGAGAACATCTAAGATGTGAGTATTTCTATTTACATGCTTATAAGCTTTTTAGTCAGAGTTTTTAGCAATGAGATTGGGAGCTGCACAATAGCCATGTTTCCATCACCCAGTTTTTATTCGCATTTTGAAGTATCGCTTCAGAAACGAGTGACAGAAACACCAAATTTTGAAGAAGAAAAAAAAAATCCCTTAATTCACAAAGTTTTTACACTCGCTTGAGTTGGTTTTTGACTTGTGCAAAAAAGGGTTAATGCGAATAGAGATAGAAACGCATTTGCCGAATAAATTCCTCCATGCACATCAAAAAAAGTCATGTGACTTTGCGCTATGGGACGGCATAACCTGACTAACCAGCGGACCGATCTTGTTGCACATCATTTGAAATGTTGTTATGGTCCTTCTTAAATGCCCGAGCAAAGTCTGTAGTCAAAGTATTTCTGTATAATTGCCTCCCAGAACTGTCTTACACGACTGCGTTCCCAAACAACAGCATCCACCTCCAAAAGCAATGACCGCATTTATTGTGTTTCATCTGCTCACTCTGATGTGCAAGTAATTTATTATATATGAAAATTATTATATTCAGTGGCTTCTCTACTTAGTGATATTTAGTGCCAGTTTATCAGGAAGTGACGATTTAGTTCTCTCTGATTTGTTGGATGGAAACTGTTTTTTCGCAAATGTCTTATGTGATATTCCGATTTTACACAAGTTAAATCCGCAACTTTGGATGGAAACCCAGCTAATGTGTGAAGGCATCAGACTGATTATGGAGAATATGGTGCAGTCTGGTGTCTAGAGAAGATTGCAGCTGTGTTACTAATACTCTTGTTGTTCTGGCAGCTGATCTACTCCTGGAGGGCTTCAATAGAATCAAAGTGGGCAGAGACTATGTACAAAAAGCCCAAACTAAAGAACAGGTAATGAGCTTTTCAGTTCTCCACTGTATATCTGTCAGATCACCCACCCTCTCAGCTATGAAGCTTTACATTAGTGTTTTACCTCTTGGATCCTGTCAGGCCTGATCGTAGACCATTGCTGTCCTTTTGTTCTTGTCACATTTCCTTTTCACCACTGTGTCCACTTACAACAATAGGCTGCTAGTCTCTTGTCGTTAAAATGTCATCATAACTGTTCAGATTCTGCAGATGGAGGAGTGTTTGGGAAATCTGTTTGGAAAATAATAAGTGCTACTGAATTTAAACCTTTCAGGTTTTGCATGCCATTTTTAGAGTTGGTATCATTTTCGTTTTAGCTATTCTGATTCTGCTTATCTATTCCAATTAGGTAAAAAAAAATAAAATGCAATTTTGTGTCCTATTGAATTCACGATTTCTTGGAAATTTGGAACTGGTTCTAAAATGGAACAGGTTCTTGATACCCAAACCTACTTTCGTATCTGTGTAATAATAGTGTGATCATATATTATACTGCATATTTTTTCCAAAAGTGAAGTTTTTGTCATCTTTTTCCCTTTGTCTGATCCTGTCTCTCTGTTCCTCTGACCAGGCCGACTTTGCAGTGGAAGCACTGGCCAAGGCCACATACGAAAGGTTGTTCCGCTGGCTTGTTCACCGCATAAATAAAGCTCTGGACAGGACCAAGCGCCAGGGAGCTTCCTTCATTGGCATCCTGGACATTGCTGGCTTTGAGATATTCCAGGTGCGGCTTCCTCGGATTTAGTGCTCAGCTGTCTCTTATGTTAAATCATAGATATTAATCACTATACTGCAACGAATCAGAGGTCATATGATACTAGGGCTTTTTTTAAAACGCAGGCAATGCAAGAAAATGAAAATGCTGTAGGTGTTGTTTATCAAAGGATGTTGTTTGGGACAAGTTTTTATTTGTGTATAGTTTAACATAGATTTTAAGCATATCACATATCACTGAAAAAAAAACAATGATCGTACAAAACAGCAGGGTTTCTATTGAGGGAATACATTTTTTTTTTTTTTTACTTTTTATACTTTTAATAACTGGATGTTAAATTGTGTAAGTTTCATGATTTCAGATAATTAGACATGTTTTTGTGATTACTGAAATGTAATTATACCATTAAAACAGAATGGAGAAAAATTAAAATGGGGAAAAAACAGAACAGAATTTTGGGTGGTTTAAAAAATCATGGGGCCCCAATCATTGTGCCTTTAAGAAGGTTTCTTCCTTCAGGTTGTGCTGGAGGATGTCCTTGCTATCTTGGTGCTGGACATTGCTTTAGAAAAGATGCATCTGCTAAATTGAGTTACATAATTATGGTATAGTCAGGATGAAATTACAAGGTTTACAGTAAATAGTGTAATTGGATGCCCATTCATAGCTGCAGTATTTAGTTAAGTGATATTGATATTGAAGATACTGATATTGGTTAAAGAATCAATTATGCATGTTCTGGGACTAAATATGTTATAGACAAAGCCAGTTTTATCATATTTTATTGCTCTCTCCATCTCTTGGCAGCTGAACTCATTTGAGCAGCTCTGCATCAATTACACCAACGAGAAGCTTCAGCAGCTGTTCAACCACACCATGTTCATCCTGGAGCAGGAGGAGTACCAGCGTGAAGGCATCGAATGGAGCTTCATCGACTTCGGCCTCGACCTGCAGCCCTGCTCCTGGAGGGCTTCAATAACTACCGCTTCCTCTCCAACGGTAACATTCCCATTCCTGGCCAACAGGACAAGGACAATTTCCAAGAGACCATGGAAGCCATGCATATTATGAGCTTCTCCCATGATGAAATCTTATGTAAGCGTTCATGAAACAAACACGCCTCTACTACATTGTATATTTACTGCTGTTTTATACCTGCATACTAGTAAATAATCATAAAAACACATTGCACACCTTTTTGCCTTCACTGTGGCATTTGAAATGGTCAGTGAATTTACAGTACAAGAGTCTCTTGTAGTCTCTTCATTAATGAGTTGATAACTTTGACAACCCTATTATTATTTTAATGCATGCAGTTAACATTTGGTTTAGTTAAATTTGTTTAAACTCTTGACAATTTAGTATATAATTTAACTGTTTCATTCTGTTCTGTGATATTTGAACTTGAGAGTTTAAGTGAAAGGCAAAATTGCTTACACATACATTATTTATTTTTTATTTTTTATACAGATTATTTATATATAAATTAAACCCAGATGGGATGTTTAATGAAAGTCATTTCCATTCTCTTGGTAAAATGTAATTGTTATTGAAACTCAGTAAGTCATATCACCCATGAGTGAAACACTGTTATTCATCAAAATGTTGCAAAAACCAGGAGAGCTTGCAGAATTTTATGTATGATTAAGTCCATAAAGGATGGTTATTATTTTATTTCTAGTTTAGTTATTTTATTATTGAATTAAATTACATACCATTTACTGTTTAATTTAATGCCATTCAGAAATGTTTGTTTTGAGGGAATAAAACTCCTCTTCATAAATCTACCTGTCCAGTTTCATCATGTAGACCTCATTCTTATATCTGAATATCTGAACCCTTAAAATGAAACAGAAAGTGATAAATATGGAAAAAAAGGGAATAATCTTAAGTTAATGTTGTAATCATTTGACATCCCTAATAAGTATACAAGAATCAACAAAATGCTGGTTTTATATTGAATATAAGCCACACTGCAAGACATCGACCTTCCAAAAAATATTTCATGTCAACTACCCACATACTGTTGACAGTCTTGTCCTTTTTTTTATTTATTTTTTGCTTTTTCACTGCAGCAATGCTCAAGGTGGTATCAGCAGTCCTGCAGTTTGGCAACATCGTGTTCAAGAAGGAGAGAAACACCGACCAGGCCTCTATGCCAGAAAACACAGGTACACATCTGTGTTTTAAAGGTTTCAAAAGTGCATAATGCCTTATTTTAGCACAGAGATAATGTTTCTTTTTTTCAGTAATGGAAATCTAATGTATTATGTGACGTATTTAAATAACTCCGTAAATTCTTTGGCAGTGCATTAGCATGAAAGAGTGTTCAGTATCCAGACTACCCTACAATCTAACCCCTGCGCCAGATGTTTTTGTACAGTTCTCCACTGCTCTGTTTTGACAAATTACCCGTTGGACTTCTCTTGGGCTCCCATGATGACAGTTTGAATGGTTTTTAGATATGTTTCATATTAAAAGAATATAACAGAATAGTTGTGCTAAGTTGCGTTAAATCAAACATGTTTACGTAAGAGCCCCAAAAGTGACCGTTTTACCGCCATGATGCATTCCAGCAAGCTTACTCCACTGGCATTTTGATTAATTTGTTTTTATCATCACCATTCATGGTACAATATTGAAACTTTCATCTGTTTAAGTCACTCACGTCTTGAAGCTGTAAAGTTAGTCGCGCTGGTGGTCCTAAAGGGGAACTCTTGGGGTTTGTTTGGCTGCTAAACGGGATGTAAGGGTTTAGAAGTCAGTAAATTGCAATAACGACCCGACTTATTTGAAATACCTTATACTCGTGAGCAAAAATGTCCCATAATAACTTCTCTCACTACCATTTATGCGCATAGGGGAAGCTTCTAAAATCCTATAAATCGAAAAAAAATGTCACCATTTTTGGTCAGCTTGCATTAGAGGACCATTTTGTGAGTGTTTTTTTTTCTCTCTCTGTTTCTCAGCTGCTCAAAAGCTTTGCCACCTGCTTGGAATGCATCGAATGGAGCTTCATCGACTTCGGCCTCGACCTGCAGCCCTGCATTGACCTCATTGAGAGACCGGTGAGCTCTCACCTCAACTACAATAGTATTTGCCCTTTAATTTTATTGTTGTGGGTTGCTGGAAATATTTTCTACACCAAGCATTTGCAGAATTGAAAGTAATTTGAAGTTACTGTGGAAGTAGAGAATGCTTTTAGTGCTTTCTGTTGGCTTTTTTCTATAAATTGTTTTGATTGCTTTTACGGTGCCATTCCCAGGCAAATCCTCCCGGTGTGTTGGCTCTGTTGGATGAGGAATGCTGGTTTCCAAAAGCCACTGATAAAACCTTTGTGGACAAACTGGTGCAAGAGCAAGGCACTCATGCCAAGTTCCAGAAACCACGGCAGCTGAAGGACAAAGCCGATTTCTGCATCATTCACTATGCTGGCAAGGTACGTCTGCATTCATATTTATGAAATTACACGTAGCTGTTGGATTCACCTCTTGTACTTCAGTCTTGTGATGTTTGTAATAATTAAGTTACTTTTGTTACTGTTTAAAAGAAACATGGAATGCATCGTAACCTTATGTAATTGGATTTAGTCAGGTCATACTGGCTTGCAGTGCAATGTTGTGTTGCTGTTTTTCAAGGGTAGCAGCATCCAGCTGTGGTATGTGCTAACCACAGGCCACATCTGTTTCAGATCAGTGAGCTGTTTGCAATAGAAACTTGACACTGCATGAAATGAGGAACTTTTGATATTTCTCTCCCTTTGAGCTATGTTTGGGTTAAAAGCCAGAAAATTAGAGTTTGCTTTGTTTCCTGTTTAAGAAAAGTAAAATAGTGCATTGATTTATACTTGATCACTTTCAGTAGTTACATAACACTATGCAAACAGCCAACGACTGCTGAACTGCAGTACCTCTTAAATTAAACTATCCAGATTGAACCAATCCTGGCTTAATTCCATTCTTCCCATCTTGAGGTTGTTAATGTGCCGTTTATTTATTTCTCTCATTTATCAGGTTGACTATAAGGCAGATGAGTGGTTGATGAAAAATATGGACCCTCTAAATGACAACGTGGCCACACTCCTGCACCAGTCCACGGATAAGTTTGTGGCTGAACTGTGGAAGGATGGTAAGCTGTTTTCTTCTCGAGTGCCTTCCAGATTCCCTGTCACATGAAACGTTAAACGGCTCGTTTTTATGATTCTACCCTCCCGTTCTGTGAAGAAAGCGACTGTTGTTTTCAATCTTCACGTCTTCACAAGACGTTTCACGTCTTGTCTGTCTTGTAAAAAGAGCTTGTCATGCATTTCGGTGGCTCGACGCAAATATTTTATACTGTTGATATCACAATAGATATATTTGTACTGTAGTTATTATAAGCAGGGCTGCTTTACATTATTTACAGATTAAAGCAGTGAGGAAATATGAAGTAATGCAAAAATACAGAGTGGGACGTGTCATATTTTATTATTTATGTCTGACAGCACTTTTCACTGCATTTCCAGCAAAACTGTATAAATTAAATAACATAATACACATTTTATGTAAAATTATAATATTGTGGCAAAATAATTTCTTTAGAAGTAGATACAAAATAAAATGTATGTGCTAAGATCGATCAGCAGGATCTTAAAACATTACATTAAAAGTACACATATCCAAAAACAGAAACTAGTGCAAATCGAATGAAGACTTTTGCTTATTCTCACCTGTGTTGCACAGCACTAACCAGTGTGTTTACTACCATTTATGTCTTTTATGTGCTAGCTGTGTTCTACTACTGCTTTTTTATTTTGCTTATTTTCTTGTTTATCTCCCCTTTGCCCCCTTTCTCTGTCTCTCGACCATAGAGATTCAGAATATCCAAAGAGCGTCTTTTTATGATGTCTCTAGTCTCCATGAATCGCCAGGTGAAGGTATACGATGCTGTAGGTCTCTGCTTACCAGCGCATTGTGTACTTTCAAACACTCCCATGGCTTGTAGACCTGGGCCCTGGTCCCTCTAGCTGGCTAACTTTAGAGTTAGCTGGATCCACTTGAAAGGGAGCTTGGCTGATTCATTAGGATGCCCAAACTGACCATGAATGAAGATTGCATGAAAAATGAATGCATGTGTCTAGTGACTTAATGCAGAGTACTGACACTGCATAACAGACATTTGAAAGCAACTCTGGGTAGCTCTTTAGGTGCGCTGGCTACAAGGATTAGGGCCCTGCTTGTTCTTTGAGTGCCTTTCAGCAATTTAGTTAACTTCACACCCCTAAATATTCGGGCTGTTATTTCATAGTTTAAAAATTGTAAGTGTCAAATCATTATTAAATCTACACCTATAGCATTTTCAGTCCAGCCAGTGTTGAAAAATGCCATAGGTGATTGTCAAGAACATGTCTGTGTCATATTTCACCACAAAATCTAATTATATGATAATCGGGACTTGAACTCGGGTCGGCGGAAGCGCTAATATTGCCAACAAGGCTGTCTTAAAGTAATTAATAATTTTTATGTTTTAAATAGTTATCGGCAAGCAAATTTTATAATAATATTTTCATTACAGTAAAGTCTGGACGCATTATGATAATGACAATTTTGGGTGAAAATTTGCTTAATTGTCCTATAATGGACTTGATGCTAAATTTTTACTTCCTTTTTTTATTTTTTTATTTCACAGTGAAATATAACCTGCCTGGTTATCATGAGATTCCCTCAAACACAGCTTAACACAGTTTTTCAGCAGACAGAGCGGTTTGTGTGGTACGGGGGCTTATGCCCTTGGTTCTTGCGCTCAGACATCTTGTTTGTTTTAAGTGTCAGATGGTGATTTGACAGGCCGTGTGAGGGAGATGGAGTTTGGGTGAGGGGTGGAGGAATTCTGTGGTGTTTCTCTGACAGGGAACATGGAACAATACATGTCTTGTTTCACTGGAATCCAAATGACTTGCTCAGGCCTGTGCCAGTCAACACTGACAGCTCAGTAAATTCTCCATGGAGGTAATGGAAGTCACGTCAGGAGCCCCATTATGAACAGAACATGGCTTGGAAGCGGTTCTTAAGAATGACATTTACAGGAATGCTGCGAGACCTAGAATTGTAAATCTAGCACCAGTAGTTAGACTTTATCAGCCCCCAATGAATCAAAATGAATATGTGAAGAGTTCAATGCAAAAGCCTCTAAGTGCCGTCTGAAATGTTCTTCAAAAATTAGCATTTTTATCAGTCTCCTATGTTTAGGTTCAGTAACTTTATTTAATGGCAATGTATAGGCCCTTTTCTATGCCATTAAAGTGAAATAAATGAAAATAAATATAGGATCCTGGTAAAAATGCTTATTTTAGATGAAAATTTCAAACGGCACTTAGAGGCTTTTGCATCTGAACTCTTCATGTAGTTTCTGATTACTTGTGTGTTGAGTGATTGACGTTTGACTTGTTTTGTGTTATGGCACTGTTATTGGACCCAAATTTGTGAAAGTAATTTTTCTGATTGGTATCTTATTTATTTCTTAGCAGATTTATTCACATTGATTTAATCAGTTGCTGAAAGGAGACATTTTAGTAACATTACTTAGAGGGAGAGAACATAATATACATGTCTGGGTCATATTTCACTTAAAAAAAAAAAATCCCTCAGTTTTAATTATGCATTCATATGTTTTCTTTTGAATTTATTTTTGTTGTTGATTCTGGTTAGAATCTAATTTTTGTTGAAGAGTAAAAATAGCTGCAAAAGCATACTACAACAAATATTTATACAATGTATCAGTACTTTACAATGCACTTTTTTTGTATTACACTAACAAGAATTCTGTTGTTCTGCATTTCAGTAATGAGAATTGGGGTGGAAAAATGTACTTGGTGGAAACATCTTAAAATGAAACCTTTTCAGGACCATTATTAAAGCAAAATATCTTTTAAAAATTATTTTATAAATAGAATGAAATAAGAACTTAAAAAGCACCGTTTACTACACTGCCATTGCTAAAATTACATCTCTGCACAAAAGTTTTACTAGAGTTGTAAATATGGGCTGCATGCAAAGATTCATACAGTGTAATCAGTATAGTCTGATTCACAAGCAGGTGAATCTTACGGTTCAAGAGGAGTTCAGTAACAAATTACTGGTTTAAATCTGATGAATCTTTCATTGAAAGAACTGACTGAATCCAATCCAGTTGCTGAATTAACATCTGGTGAAATATGCCCTGGACATGATCTTGACAGGTTTTGAGGTTCACCCTTCCATTTTCTTTAATTTGCAGCTTGTGCTTGTTTATAGTTGTAATCTTATCCTTGGCACTTTTCATCTTTTTCATGTCTCCATTTGCCTAGCACTGGACCTGCTGGCATAGTAGGGGCCATTGGCTCTTGAATTGGCTGTCTGAACTTGTGGCATTGAGTCAAAATACACTGTACTACTTCCTGAAAGTTATTTTCTATTTTTTGCAGGATATGATGATTAAAGGCCTGAAAGAATTGAAGGACAGGTTTTTTTTTTAAATGGTCTTTGTAAGAATGCAAAAATACACAGCGTATTTTGACCTTCTGCTTGGTGTTGTTGAATTAGAGCTTTAGTTGTAGATATATCCCTCTTCCATCTTCACATGATTTGGCTGTGCTGTTTCACTCTTTTTTTTTAACTGTATCTGTAAATACTTTGATGATCAAACTAACTGGTTGGTATCTTTCTTTTTTCTCACTCTTCATGGTAGTGGACCGTATTGTTGGTTTGGACCAGGTGGCAGGGATGAATGAGACTGCATTTGGGGCTACATATAAGACCAAGAAGGGTATGTTCCGCACTGTGGGTCAGCTCTATAAAGAGTCCCTCACGAAACTTATGGCCACACTCAGAAACACCAACCCCAACTTCGTGCGCTGTATCATCCCCAATCATGAGAAAAGAGTAAGTGACATTTGCCCCTTCATTTGTAAGTAAATATGTACTTTAGCTAAAATAAAAACTATATATATATATATATAGTAGGGTTGTGATGGTGAGGAAATTTTCCCACCGGTTAATCGACGTGTGACAACACCGGTATCACCGCGGGGGCGTTCCCTCTTTTCCTCGCTTTCCTTCACTTTTAAATAGCTTGTAAAAGCGCCGTGTGCATTTTACTTTCACTTTCAGGAAAGCTTGGAGGCACGGCATACACCTTGATGTCAAATAAAATAAATAAATAAATGGCACAAAGTTGAAATAAAGTATCCGTCTATCGCGGCAAGCCTAATATATAGTCTACGCACCTCATTGTCATTGTCGTTCTTCTCTGTTAGGCTGGTAAACTGGAGCCCAATCTGGTTCTGGATCAGCTGAGGTGTAATGGAGTTCTAGAAGGGATCCGGATCTGCAGGCAGGGATTCCCTAACCGTATTGTCTTCCAGGAGTTCAGACAGAGGTGCGTTTCAGAAATCTCATTCAGATGCATATTATATTTTATCAGTGATAAAACTGTTATATTTGTTTTCCTCTCAGATACGAGATCCTCACGCCTAATGCAATCCCCAAAGGTTTTATGGACGGCAAGCAGGCTTGTGAGAGAATGGTAAGATTTCTTAAGATGACTAACAAATGAGGTTTACCAGTACTTTATTCATCAAGTTTCATGCAGAGGGCCAAAAAAATTATTCAATCAAAATAGTTAAAATACCAGTGTATTATGAAATATTCCATAAAAACAAATTCAGCAAGAACGCATTAATTTGATCAAAAGTGTAAGAATTTTTTGTAACAATCTTTACTATTTCAAATAAATGCAGTTCTTTTGAACTCTATTCATCAAAGAATCCTGTAAATAAAGTCCTGAAAAAAATGTATCACCATTTCTGCTTCAACTGTTTTCAACATTGATAATAATAATAAAAAAATTCTTACACACAGATCAGCCTATTAGAATAATACCTGAAGAATCATGTGACGCTGAAAAAACATCCGGAATAAATTACCTTTTAAAATATATTACAATAGAAAAGAATTGTGTTAAATTGTAATCATGTTTCACAATATTACTGCTTTTACTGTATTTTTTCTATCAAATAAAAGCAGCCTTGCTGAGCATAAGAGACTTCAAAAATTTTAATGACCCAAACATTTGAATGGTAGTGTAATTGTTTTAAACCGTTTATCATTTTTCAAATAAATTTGATTTGCACTACCATTAAATTATTTTCTTTTCATAATTAAAATTAGTATATCCAAATGTTACTTTAAAAATAATAGGCTTCCGAATCACACCTAATAGCTCAATAATGCATTTCTCCAAAGCTTTATAATAATACAATTTGTTTATATATTTTTTCATAATTGAATTAAAGAAACATTATCAAATTAAAGGTGCACTTTAATGATGTAACTATTTCATGTTTATTCTATAGTTTCATAGAATTTTTACTGATATCCATTATTGAAAAACCAGCATCTGAAATTTTGCATCTGCTAAATGCCAAGTATCAACTAACAATGTGATCTGTAGATCCGAGCCTTGGAGCTTGACCCAAACCTCTACCGGATCGGGCAGAGTAAGATCTTCTTCCGCACTGGAGTTTTGGCACATCTGGAGGAAGAGAGAGACCTGAAAATAACAGATATCATAATCTACTTTCAGTCGGTCTGTCGAGGATACCTGGCTCGCAAGTGAGTCTAAATGCAAAAGGCTGATCTAAATCTGGTCTAAAAGAATAATATGCAGCTCTTACTGTTTATAGTGTAGAAATGAAATGTATTCTTATGAGACCTTGTCGGTGAACTGCTTCTGTTTCTCAGAGCCTTTGCTAAAAAACAGCAGCAGCTAAGCGCTTTGAAAGTCCTCCAGAGAAACTGCGCCGCCTACCTGAAACTACGCCACTGGCAGTGGTGGAGACTCTTCACCAAGGTTGGTCTCGGTTTTTAAAATAGTCAGTTTACATAACTGTTTAAATTATTTGACCAGCTTTAGTATACTTATCTAAAAGAAATTTGTGTGTATGCAAGAGAAATTGAATCTTAACACTAGAACCGCCAGAGGTCGCTGTATACCTAAAAGCGCCAGCGGGTAAATTTTACCCACGCACATGACAACTGTATTTATATGGCTAAAGAACATATTATTTCACTGTATTATGCCACTGTCTTCACAAAGAAGTGTCTAGAGTCATGAAATGATTATATCTAGTCAACTATATTTTGTAGCGAACAATAAACGATATGGCAAGACAAAAATTAAATAATTAAACCAAAGTTTGAGCAATTAGAGTAACGTGAGGCTAAAACATGACATAAGCGGCAAGAAAATGACAGCGTGAAAATACATGCATTTATATAGGTGGGTAAATTTGACCCGCTGGCGCTTATAGGTATAAATGCCTTGTTTTTTGATCTGGTTTTAAAAATTTACCCCGTGGCGGTTCTAGTGTTAATCAACTCATTTGCAGTATTGTTGCAGATAGTTTTCATTTGAGACGTGCATTACATGTGTGTCTGCAGGTGAAACCCCTCCTCCAGGTGACCCGTCAGGAGGAAGAAATGCAGGCCAAGGATGAGGAGCTCATTAAAGTGAAGGAGAAGCAGGTGAAAGTAGAGAACGAACTGGTGGAAATGGAGCGGAAACACCAGCAGGTTAGCACACACTCACCTCCTCCGTCTGTCTCCTGAAAATCACAGTGTTATTTAAGTGTTATGTTAGTTTTTGACCTGATATCCGACAGAATGAACCACATTTAAAGACATTGTTACATATCTGATATATGTATATGGCCACACTTGAATCGTGTTGCTTTCTAAAATCACTGTAATGTGGTCTCTTGTGGCTTTATTCAATGTAGTGGAATCTCCATGATCTTCTGCAGTGTTACGAAATCATAGTGACTCTGTCACCCAAATTGACAAATGTTGTAGAAACAGAAAAGATCTGGTTTGATGTTTGTTTCAGCTCTTGGAGGAGAAGAACATCTTGGCGGAGCAACTGCAGGCCGAGACAGAATTGTTTGCTGAAGCTGAAGAGATGAGGGCTCGCCTGGTGGCTAAAAAACAAGAGCTGGAGGAGATTCTTCATGACCTGGAGTCCCGTGTGGAGGAGGAAGAGGAGAGGAACCAATCTTTGCAGAATGAGAAGAAGAAAATGCAGTCACACATACAGGTGAGGACTTCACTGGGGAAATATAATCCTTGATCTGCTGTAAACTTAAAATAGAGTAAATCTGTATCTAAAACTTCTAGGTTGGAATAATGAATTCAGCAAGTACTTGGCTAAAAAGGCTCACAAAGTCCTACACTGTTGCTGTACCGAAACCACAAGTGTGTGTGTGTGTGTGTGTGTGTGTATGTTTGTCTTTAGGACCTAGAGGAACAACTAGATGAAGAAGAGGCTGCCCGACAGAAGCTTCAGTTGGAGAAGGTGACTGCTGAAGCCAAGATAAAAAAGATGGAGGAAGACATTCTGCTGTTGGAGGACCAGAACTCCAAATTCCTAAAGGTCAGTGCAGATGTCAAACCGCCTAATCAAAATGCAGCAATAAGGATGCTTTGAGAAGAACTTTGCAGAGGCAAACTGAGCTCTTCCTTTCCTCCCTATCCCTCAGGAGAAAAAACTCCTGGACGACCGTGTCAGTGAGATGACCTCCCAGCTGGCTGAGGAAGAAGAGAAAGCCAAGAACCTTGGCAAAGTCAAAAACAAGCAAGAAATGATGATGGTAGACCTAGAAGGTGAGGACTGTGTTGAATATGGATCATTTTATTTAAGTGAATGTAAAGCAGTGGGTCTTTAATGTTTATGTTTGTGTGTTTGATCCTCAGAGCGTCTGAAGAAAGAGGAGAAAACTAGGCAGGAGCTTGAGAAAGCCAAAAGAAAGCTGGATGCTGAGACCACAGACCAACAGGACCAGATAGCTGAGCTACAGGCCCAGATTGAGGAACTCAAGATCCAACTGGCCAAGAAAGAAGAGGAGCTACAGGCTGTTCTGGCCAGGTGAAGATCTGTTCATTGAGGAACACAGAATAAGAAAAAGGAGAAGTTGGCTACTCTCGCCACAAAAAATCCACTTGGAGCCGAAATAGTTTGACTGTCGTCTATCTGACCATGTCTAAACAATAACTTATGGTAGGCCGTGTTATGCTGCCGTCATATAAATTGGTATATTAGTCGTGGGAAGTTTTTATTCTTGACCTTTGTGTTTGTTAACATTGTGCAGTCCTGAAATACTTTAGTAAATTGGTATCAGATTGATGTTGCGACATCACAACAAAAACACATTGACATGCTTACCCACATTCATATATATAAATAGAATGAAGTCTGTATGATAGCCATATCTTTAAATCGACACCTGCCATAGAGTTTCTTATTTGTCATATTATATAAAATTTTATAGCAAACCCGGTTAAAGAAGTCAGTGAGTTTTGGAATCTTAATTTAATTTAATTTAATTTAAAATCTGTTATGTTCACCAAGGCAAACATACAGTGAAAATGTTTTAAAATGTTTTGAAATATAATTACAATCTAAAAGAAATGATCATTTCAAATATATATCTTTTATAAAACTGTTTACTGTTACACGTGATCAATTTAACGTGTCCTTGCTGAATAAAAGTATTCAGTTTTAAAAAATCTTAATTATTAAGCATCAAAAATGGTTTTCAACATTGATAATGAGAATTGTTTCTGGAGCACCAAATCCACATATTTATATCCATTCAGTAATAAGCTGCTTAGCAGGTATATTTTTACTTACTTCACTTGTGGAAAAAAAATTAACCAGTCATAACAGAGGTTATTTACATATAGAAGTCTGAAAAGTACAGTAGCAAAAATTGTCCTAGATTTTAAACAGGACTATTTAATTCATCAGGATCAGAAAGAGTTTGTAAATAAAAGTGTAGAATATAACTTCTTTAATTTAGCATGCATCGTTTTGCTAATAATCTTTGCTTATATTTATTGTTCCACAGAGGTGATGAGGAGGTCGCTCAGAAGAACAACGCACTGAAGCAAGTGCGGGAGCTGCAGGCCCAGCTAGCTGAGCTCCAGGAGGATCTGGAGTCTGAGAAAGCAGCCAGAAACAAAGCTGAGAAACTCAAGAGAGATCTGAGCGAGGAACTGGAGGCTCTGAAGACTGAGCTGGAAGACACACTGGACACCACTGCCGCCCAGCAGGAGCTGAGGTACAAGAGTCTGCATCAGGAACTATATCATGACCACAAAATTGAACTAGTTTTTAAAGGGATAGTTCACCAAAAAATGAACATTCTGTCATTTATTCACCATTCATTTGTTTAAAATCTTTTGAAGAATGTTGGTAAACAAACAGTTGACTGTAGCCATTGACTTCTGTAGTATTTTTTTTTCCCATACCATGGAAATCAATTAATTAGAATCTGACCCTTTCTGTTTTCTCTGAACCTTTCTCCTCAAATGTGTGTTGCCTAATAATGTGTCTTTTGCTAATAAAGGACCAAACGAGAGCAGGAGGTGGCAGAACTGAAGAAGGCCATCGATGACGAGATGAAAAACCATGAGTCTCAGGTCCAGGAGATGAGACAGAGGCACGGCACAGCTCTGGAGGAGATCTCTGAGCAGCTGGAGCAGGCCAAAAGAGTAAGCCACAGAGATAAAGAGGGAGGGTTTTCAGTTCTAATGTCTTGACTGGAACGCCGCCAGTCGTCTGCTGTCAGAATGATGTGTTTGGAATTCATTTCCTCGTTCAGTGATTAAATATGGTATGGTCTCCTGTTGATATAGTTCAGGCAAAATCTGTCTCTCTCATAACTGTCTGTCTGTCAACATTAGGTTAAGTCAAATCTGGAGAAAAACAAACAGACTCTGGAGAGTGATAATAAGGAGATGGCCAATGAGGTGAAGAGTTTGCAGCAAGGCAAGTCTGAATCTGAGCACAAGAGAAAGAAACTTGAAGCTCAGCTGCAGGAGTTCATGGCCCGCTTCAGCGAGGGAGAGAAGGTTAAAGGAGAACTTTCAGACCGCTCCTACAAACTACAGGTCAGTGTTGTTACATGGTTACATAAACTACAAGTGAGTGCTGTTACACTTCATATCATAATCATTTCTGTTACACCCAGTTCCATGAAATACCTCCCTCACACACTACAGATAAGTGTTGTTTCATTTGTTTTTTGCAGACTGAAAGTGTGGGTGTAATTAGGGCTGCACGATTAATCAAAATAAAACCCAAATCACGATTATGGCATAGTGCGATTATCAAATTGCAATTATTAAAATTATGTGCAATTATTATTAAATAAATTGCAAATTGCAATAATTAAATAAATATTAGCGAATGTACTATTAAATTATTATTATATAATAACCAGTTTCATGTATTATTTTATACTGCGGGCCCGTTGAATGCTTGAATCTTATTGGCTGACGAACGTTCTAAGGTGTGCAATTATTTTCAGGGAAACGCACAGCGAACGTAGTTCCAGGCAGCTCTGGACCGCATTTCATGTCCATATCACTTTGCCAAATGATTTCTGTTATTTTAAAAGGTCTTACAACAGCACAATAACCAAAACCCACAACAACACTGGCCAGACAAATAAATATAGTAAGCAATATGATAAAAACGACAGATCATTTCCATGTTTTGCCACATAATTACGTTTTATTATGTAGGTAAAGCACATATCTCTCCCGCTCTCTCTCCCTCACAGACGCACATACATAACTTACAGTACAGAAACATACATGCGCTAACATTGTTATCGCTACTCTGGCGATTTTATTTTAAAAGCTACATGATATTTCTCACAAGCGAGGTAACAACGGCGCTGTTCGTGAAGAAAATGAACTTAAAGTTTCACTGTTAGTAGAGACGCTGCTGCCGAACAATTTTGAGAGAGACACAGACTCAGAGGTAATATACACTCTCTCTCTCTCTCTCTCTCTCGCTCTCTCTGTCTGTCTAATAACTTAATTAATATCTGCATCAATGGCTCAAGCCTCCGTTACTAGGTCTAAAATGATGTTTTGGAATTAGCAACGGAGGCATTGGATGAGATGCGGAAGAAATTAATCCTACTCACAATAGGGTTTTAAGTACAAAAACCGGACGAATGCCTTGAAATATATCGTCTGATCAATGTCTTGAAGTGTGGCAACCGTAGTATAAGCGGAATAATTGACTCCGGGCCGTTGAGTTATTAGAAAATGCCTTTAGAAAATGTTTCAGCTACATTTACGTTTTTTTTTTTGTTTTTTTAGTTTAGTTACTAATCATTTGTTTTTAAAACAAACATCTTTTTACTACATGGAATTAAGCAGTTCTGTTAAATTCTGACTCCGTATTTCATATGAGACCTTTTGGTGGAGTTCAGTTCATTCGGATAATGTGAATGCTGTTTTCTGAACTCTGCTGTTTTTACGAACCATTCGCCCAAAAAGGGTGATCTTGTGTACGGTTGATGTGAACTCTGGTACAGTTCGCTTCTAATGTGAATGCAATTATACTAAATTTTGGAAGTGAGCCATTATTGATGACATATGAATTGGTCAGACTGTATTTATGTGTTTACTCACTCTCTTTCCTGACAAGTGTGACTGACGCTCTGCAAGCAGAGAGAATTTATATCTCATTTTTGCTCGCAGAAATTGATTCCCGTATTCTCTTACACCCTTGCAGTACATTTGTGTCAAATAGGTTTCATTCTGTGTTGCCGTTTCGGAAACAAAATTAAACTTTCAAAATCCAAAAAGTACAAAAATGAGGCGAGCAAGCATACATTCATTTTGCCATCTTCTGCATAGTCGTTACCTAGCATCATGGGTAAACAGCTCTGATTACGCAAACGTACTGTGGTTCAGAACCAAAAATCACCGTGTGAACACAAACCGGCAGGGGGAGGAGGATCAATCGAACTTGGGTTCGGACCAGGCTATCGAACCAAGTGTGAAAGCAACCTTAAATAGATCAGCATCCAGGGTTCTTGTGAAATATCCCTCAACTGCAAATTAAATTTTTTTTCATTTGTAGGCAGAACTGGACAATGTTTCTTCTCTGTTGGAAGATGCTGAGAAGAAGGGAATTAAGCTGGCCAAAGATGCCTCCAGCCTAGAGAGTCAGCTTCAGGACACTCAGGTAATGTGACTCTGCAAACAAGAAGCACTGGAAGAATGGATGAAGCAGTGACATAGAAGTATTTTGTATCTACCAACAAGGTTGATCCATAGTATACACCTGAAGTAATTTCATCAGCAATGAAAGACTGCAGAGATTTAATTAAAACAATAGATAGACTTTTCACAGAAAAGGTGTGGGATGTTATTGAGTCATGCTTGTTAAAAATTGTGGCTGTAGGAGCTGCTTCAAGAGGAGACTCGTCAGAAGCTGAACCTGAGCAGCCGTGTTCGTCAACTGGATGAGGAGAAGAACAGCCTTCTGGAGCAGCAGGAGGAGGAAGAGGAGGCACGGAGGAACCTGGAGAAACAACTGGCAACACTACAAGCCCAGGTCCGCCCAATCACTATATTTTTTAATGAAGGAACACGGCATGTCAGTTTATATCAACATCTAGCACACAATAATGTGTTTTACTTACCTCACAGAAGTCTGTCATGTTTGAGGACAAAAAGTGGGTTCTGTAAAAATGTTATTTTTTTTAGACTTCTGTTCAGAAAGGAAATCAGATGTACTATTTACTATAAAAATATTAATTAAAAATAAAAGCACTACTCTTTAATCCTTCTTTTTTGGATAGCTGGTGGAGACTAAGAAGAAGCTGGAGGATGATGTGGGAGCCCTTGAAGGCCTGGAGGAGGTCAAGAGGAAGCTGCAGAAGGACATGGAGGGGACCAGTCAGAAGCTGGAGGAAAAGGCCATCGCTTACGACAAGCTGGAGAAAACCAAGAACAGACTGCAGCAGGAGCTTGATGACCTTATGGTAGACCTGGACCACCAGAGACAGATCGTCTCAAACCTGGAGAAGAAACAGAAGAAGTTTGACCAGGTATGAATGGTTTTGGTTAAACAACATTTCACCCAAAAATGACATTTCTGTCATCATTTACTCACCCTCATGTCATTCCAAAACCATAGGACGTTTGCTCCTGTTCAAAACATAAATGAAGATAATTGTAATGAAACCTGAGAGGTTTCTGTCTTTCTCTTTAAAATCTATTTCACCCAAACTTGACACTTAATTCAGAGTTGTAATGCTTAATTAGTCTTCTGAAAAGACATAATTGCTCTATATGATGAACAGATTTAATTTAGGTTTTTATTCACTAATAAACTGTGATCAAACGCACATATATAGTTCATCAAATATGGGAAACTGAAGCTCAGGTATGAGCTTGATGTGCGAGAAACAACTTTTATGATGTCTTTATGAACTTTTTTTATTGCAATGTACTGAGTGGATAGACTGAAATCTCTCAGGTTTAATTTTAAATGTCTTAATTTGTGTTTAAATGATGATAAAAGTCTAATAGGTTTGCAACAATTAGAGGGTGAATAACTGATGGCATTTTTTATTAAGGTTATTTAATTTTCATTAAAGTTATCTTTAAATACTACTGAAAATTTTCATAATTTAAGAATAATTAAAATTGATAATTAAAATTAATAATTTTGTTGATCTGCATGTCAGATGCTGGCGGAGGAGAAGACCATCTCTGCACGTTACGCTGAGGAGAGGGACCGTGCTGAGGCCGAGGCGAGAGAAAAAGACACCAAAGCTCTGTCTATGGCCCGAGCCCTGGATGAAGCTCTGGAGGCTAAAGAGGAATTTGAGAGACTCAACAAGCAGCTCAGAGCTGAGATGGAGGATCTGATGAGTTCCAAGGATGACGTAGGCAAGAATGTAAGTCACTATGTTACTGGACGTTTGTACTGTTATATTACGTATGTGGTAATGTTTGAATTCATCATCATGATGTTTAAAGAACCTTTGGTGTTTTGTAAACAGCAGATTTTGTTGGCTGTTTTTGTTTTGAGACCTCATAATGTGCTGACACCCTACTGCATGTGATAACTAAGTGTGATGCAACAAGTTTCAGGTGTCAAATAATTTGCCTGTCATCACTGACAGCAAAATACTTAGCAAAGCGACAAAATCAGCCAGTCAGAACATATGCGTTTAATATGCAGCATTTGGAGCAAGATTTTGGATCTACTCAGAGTGCCATGGCAAACATAGAAGCAAAAAATCAAATAAGATGCTAATTTGGTCAGAAAACTGGAATAATTTTAAATTGCGATTTCCAGATCTAGAAATGTCATGAAAATGTAATGTTAAAAGTCATCTGGAATGTACGAAAATGGAAATCTTCCTCGGAAATCTCTATAAAATAATTTGAGAAATGTGGAGTCATTATGAATGACTAGAGAAGTCCTGGATCTTAGATTTATCATTTAGTGCTCAAGCACATTGTGACTGGTTCTGACACTGTCTCACTGTATTTTTTTATGTGCTATAATCTGTAGGTGCATGAGCTGGAGAAATCCAAGCGCACTCTGGAGCAGCAGGTGGAGGAGATGCGCACTCAGCTGGAGGAGCTGGAGGACGAACTACAGGCCACAGAGGATGCCAAGCTGCGTCTGGAGGTCAACATGCAGGCCATGAAGGCCCAGTTTGACCGAGACCTGCAGGCCAGAGATGAGCAGAATGAGGAGAAGAAGAGGGCACTGGTCAAACAGGTGGGTGAAATTGATCATTTTTGAGAATTACAAGCTATTTGGGTATGTAGATTATTGATTTATTAAGATTAAAAGTTTATTCACTGCTACCTGTTTTCATCAACTTAATCTATAAATGTTCTAACCACTCAAATGATTGTTTACTACTGTTTATTTTTCTTTTCTTTAAAAACAAAAAAATTAACCATTTTATTGCCATTTTATCTGGATCATGTCTTGAGGAAACAGTGCAATAAAGGGTTGATACCTTAAGAAGCAACAAGCAACAAATTTGTGACAGTCTGCAAAAGTTTTTCCTCAAAGTAAACCTATCTGATACAGTTTTTTGATCCATGATTCCTGTTCCTTCAGGTGCGTGAGATGGAGGTGGAGCTTGAAGATGAAAGGAAGCAGAGAGCTCTTGCTGTAGCTGCCAAGAAGAAACTGGAGATGGACCTTAAAGATGTGGAAGCTCAGATCGAGGCTGCAAACAAGGCCCGTGATGAAGCCATTAAACAGCTACGCAAACTCCAGGTAGAATCTTTTCCAGAATGCTTTTGTTCATGCACAAATGTGATGACACAGTAATGATAATGCAAGAAGTGACACATTTACTGTCAGCATAATCTGTTCATCCTCACAAAAAGAGTTTTTTAGTAGTGACACAGATGTCTACATCATTGACTGCATTACTGTGACTTAATATTTTAGGTCACAGTCAGTGCAGAGACATGACAAAATGTGAGAAGAACAGATGGCAACATCTCTTTGTTTTCATCCAGGCCCAGATGAAGGACTACCAGAGGGAGCTGGAGGAGGCGCGTGCTTCTCGTGATGAGATCTTCACTCATTCTAAGGAGAACGAGAAGAAGCTCAAGAGTCTAGAAGCTGAGATTCTGCAGTTGCAAGAGGTGAGCAAGCACTGTAAAGCCTGAAATACACATTTGAAAAAAGCTTTTCTGCAGAATCTGTTGCTTGTTTTTCCACAGTTTTAAATCGGATTAGTTAAACTGGCGAGTCTTTGTTGTTCATCCTCACAAAAAGAGTTTTTTAGTAGTGACACAGATGTCTACATCATTGACTGCATTACTGTGACTTAATATTTTAGGTCACAGTCAGTGCAGAGACATGACAAAATGTGAGAAGAACAGATGGCAACATCTCTTTGTTTTCATCCAGGCCCAGATGAAGGACTACCAGAGGGAGCTGGAGGAGGCGCGTGCTTCTCGTGATGAGATCTTCACTCATTCTAAGGAGAACGAGAAGAAGCTCAAGAGTCTAGAAGCTGAGATTCTGCAGTTGCAAGAGGTGAGCAAGCACTGTAAAGCCTGAAATACACATTTGAAAAAAGCTTTTCTGCAGAATCTGTTGCTTGTTTTTCCACACAGTTTTGAATCGGATTAGTTAAACTGGCGAGTCTTTGTTTATGGTTTGGCTGTGATTGGTTTTAGGATCTGGCATCTTCAGAGAGAGCCCGACGCCACGCTGAACAGGAAAGAGACGAGCTGGCAGATGAGATTTCCAACAGTGCCTCTGGAAAGTGAGTCATTGTGCTGCAAACCTCTTGAAGTCAGCGACTGACTTGACTTGAGTATTGTGATGTATTTACAAGTCATACAGATTATTGAATGAGAACCAATAGAGTACAAAATATTGCAGTGCTAATTATAAGTGATTTATCCATTTGCAAATGACAACAATCCAATCAATTTCAAATAAACAAAATTCAAAATTAACAAAAATAAAACAAAAGTTCAGCCCTACATTTTTTTTTCTCATTTGAGGAGCTGTTTCACTCAGAAATACGTCACAATATGGAACAAAAGACAACAATTTCCATTTCAAGCTGACTTATTTCATGCTGACATATTCAGCTGTTAATTCATTTGCTCCTGTTCATAGTTTGTTCAAAAACAAGCTTTATACATAGTTTCTTTTCCTACAGGGCAGCCCTCTTGGATGAGAAGAGGAGGCTGGAGGCTCGCATCGCCCAGCTGGAGGAAGAGCTAGAGGAGGAACAGAGCAACATGGAGCTCCTGAACGACCGCTTCCGCAAGACCACTATGCAGGTGCGGTGTTGACGATGCTACAAGCTAACTTGTCATCATGGCCTGTTCTCAAAGCTCTGTGTGCTTGTGATCTTTGCAAGATGTGTAATTGTTATCTACTCAAGTATTCTCTGCTACATTTGACACAGCACGTCTTTAGTAACAGCTGTTGTGTCTGTATTTCAGGTGGATACCCTGAACACAGAGCTGGCAGGAGAGCGCAGTGCCGCCCAGAAGAGCGAGAACGCCCGTCAGCAGCTGGAGCGGCAAAACAAAGAGTTGAAGACCAAACTGCAGGAACTTGAAGGATCCGTCAAATCAAAGTTTAAGGCCTCTATCGCCGCCCTGGAGGCCAAGATTATCCAGCTAGAGGAGCAGCTTGAACAGGAAGCAAAGTATGCAACAGTGAAAAGAAACCATTTAACTCCACATTATAAATCTAACAAAACCCATTGGCACTAACTTTTGGCAATGATGTATGATCTGTGCGCTCAACAGGGAGAGAGCTGCAGCCAATAAGATTGTGCGCCGCACAGAGAAGAAGCTCAAGGAGGTGTTCATGCAAGTGGAGGATGAGCGGCGCCATGCAGACCAGTACAAAGAGCAGGTGAATGAAGCCCAAATCCTAAACTTTGTTCTCAAATTGTACTAAGTCCCCAGCTGCTTATGCTGAATAAATGCAGAATAACTTAAACAGAGTTTCCACTTTCCAAGCTTCAGACAACATTTTCTTGTGTATAATAAGATGGCAAACTCTAAAGTTCCCCATTTCAAAGTGATTTGCTGGTTTTACAGCATTTCCATTAGTTTTTTCCAAAACTTTGCTACCAAGGTACTGGACTGCTTTTGTGCGTAAGCTTGTCGCAAGGCAGCATTTTTTAAAATCAAAAATATTGCGAAATGCTATTGCAGTTTTAAATAGCGGTGTACTATTTGAATATATTTTAAAACGTAATTTATTCTTGTGATGGCAAATCTAAATTTGTAGCATCATTACTCCAGTCTTCAGTGTCACATGATCCTTCAGAAGTCATTCTAATATGCCGATGTGCTGCTCAATTATTACAAGTTATACCTTAGTGTCAAATAGGTTGAGAACCAGTGCTTTATATCCCACTTGGCTCTCAGAGCTAAATTCTCTCTCATCCTATCATTTATAGTGGAGACAATTTAGAAATCGGAGACTCAGAATTTCTGTCTTTCTTCAGATGGAGAAGGCAAACTCCCGCATGAAGCAGTTGAAGAGGCAGCTGGAGGAAGCTGAGGAAGAGGCGACTCGAGTGAACGCCTCCCGCAGGAAGCTGCAGAGAGAGCTGGATGATGCCACCGAAGCTAGTGAGGGTCTGAGCCGAGAGGTCAACACTCTCAAAAACCGCCTCAGGTACAGTGGCTGTGCCAATACAATCACTTATCGCAATACTTTAGATCCTTGTATAAGTACGTCTGTTTATTTGTGCATTCATGTCATGTCTTACTGTTTAATAATGATGCAGAAAGTGGTCAGACCCTCAGTGCAGTCAGTAGAGCAGCATAATGGTGCTGATATTCACTGCCATTTCAGACAACTGTTGTAAAAAAATGTGTACATTTGTTGGTTGTGTCAGTGTTATTGTTAACAAAACCTAAAGCTATTAAAAATCATTTTCAGAAATTGAAATAAGGCTGAAATTATATAAAATATAAATAATAGATGGAAAAACCTACACTTAAAATATTTATTTTTACATTTCAAATTTTCATTTAAGTTAAAGTACTAAAATTACTAAAAATAAAAGTGAATTAATGCTAAATAGAAATATTTTTAAAAACCTAATATAAATGACAAGCACATAACAAAATTACTAAAACGAAATGCGTAATTAATTAATGCGTAATGAAACTATTAAAAAACAAAAAAAATACGAAAGCACCTACCAAATTACTAAAGCTGAAATAAAAATAAATGAATGCTAAATACAAATATAAAAAATGACAAACGCACATAAAATTACTAAAGCAAAATAAAATATATGGTAAATAGAAATATTTTTTAAAAACTAATAAAAATGACTAAAGCTCATAAAATTTATAAACTGTGATTAAAAAATAGTGCTAAATAGAAGTATTAAAAAAAAAGAAATTATGAACTATAACAAAATTACTCAAATTAAAAATTGAAAAATAAAATATAAAAAAATATAATAGTATATGAATAATGCCTTGTTCACTCTCTCCTGCAGGCGAGGAGGTCCTGTTAGCTTCTCCTCAAGCCGTTCTGGCCGCAGGCAGCTGCAGATGGAAGGGGAATTTTCTGACGACGACGCAGACAGCAAGGCCTGCGACCTGAACGAGACCTCACCGGCTCAAGCGGAGTAGAGCACATCGCCCTCCTGTGGTCACCCAGCCCCACTGCTTCCTCCTCTCCAGCACCTCATTCTTCTCCTTTAGCAATGTGGGGTCCAGTGAGCAATGCAAACACAACTACACTAACACTTCCACATATACACACACACACTCAGACATAAGCTACCCTCAAACCTCCATTTCTAACCCCTCCCTACCAAGGGAGCATCGACTCTGCCTTATTCTAAATACAAGATGCTTCAAGACCGAGTGTACACGCGCCAATTAGTGTTTCCTGCAACTGTAGTCTACAAAATACCACGCTCACGACAGAACACTATAGAAGTGCATTTCAAATGTCAAACTTTGCTTTGTGTACATGAATATGCTCATTCATAAGAGCGTGCAATGAAAGTGTTCACTCCAATCTAGTTTAATGATGTAAAACCATCAGCTAGCTAAGCAAACGTGACTTATTGGATCTTAGTTGTACAGTACAGTTCTCCAAATAGACACGGTCTGCAGATTTTGGATCGATCGAGATGCATGTGCTGCTCGTTCGCTACAAGCCAACACTAAAAGAAGAAAAAAAAAGTCCTGTGGCACTGGACCGGATCTGAAACGGACCAGAAAAGAAAAAGAAAAACTGTGAAAAAGCTGCTCGCTTCAGCATCTCATTAACATTTAAACACATGAAATAGTTAAAACACAAGAAATCCGGCGGGTGACGGCGTTTATCTTCATTTAACCCGAGGCTTGTTTGATCTTATTTGGGAGATTTAGCTGACGGAGGCGGTTTGCGTTTTAGGAATTTGGATGTAATTGCGAATCGCCTTTAACTCTGCACATTGTGAGAAAGCCATAATGGCCACTTCAACTGGAAATATGAAGTATTCTGGATGCAAATGCACGTCAAGATGAAGCATACATGACTTTACATGTGTAATCTCTAGGGTTTTTTCCCCCCGTATATGTGACAGTATGATGGTACTTCTCAAATCCAGCTGCTCTGTTAGATTCACTACAAGTGAAACGGCCACCAAAGCAAGTTTATTGGAACTTGAAGGAAGATGTTTGAAATGGTCCAGACGTCAATGAGAGATCGCTGAAAGCAACTGGAAATATTGAACACGCTAACTCACAGGCACTTTGCTGAATTTTCGTAACTCAAGACTGGAGTTATAGCTGTGGACGGGATGCTAACACTAGTAGTATTAAGAGGATGAACGGAAAGCGTACTAACCTGTTCCACTGTTAGCATTTACTGACGTGTTTCTTAAAGTGCCTTAGACACTAATTAGAAAACATCCATGAAAGTATGTCACATATCAGTAATGAAGAAACTAATATGAAGGCAAAACTGGCTGAAAGCAATTGAAATAAAATGCTATGTAACCCATTTTTGTTTGTTCTTTTGTATTTTACTCCGCTATGAATCATATCCAGTATATAGCTCTCGTATCCCTTGTGTTCTTCTGAAGATCTGAGGGAAATCAGTGTTAATGTTGGTTTGATATAAAGAAGCCTCTGGCAGCGAGGAGCGAGTGTGATTTCATTTGGTTTCAAGCTTTATCATCCATGATCTAGTTACTATTATTGCAGTTATCATTATTATTATTGCTATATTATCACTTCTATTATTGGACTGGCTGTTGACAACCAGGCGTTCAACTGCAAATGTCTCTCCTCTTGTTTTTCTCTTGTATACTGTAACGATTTCTAGATGACCGTGAGTTTTGTAAAGGAAAAAAATAAAACATTCATTGTAGAAGAAGCATGCTTTTGTTCTGTTTCTGAAGTTGCTCTTCATTTCTTAATGAAATTAAAAAGGAATGACGAGTGTTCATATGTTAAATAGTGATCGACTAATATAAGATATTTTAATGCTTCGATAGAAAGACATGTATACATACTGCACAATTTAATATTATTAATTAAAACAATATAATATACATGTTCATATGTGTATATAAATAATGCATGGGTATTTTTTCTATAGCTTGCGATTATGTATCTAGTTTTCGTTAACCCTAAACCCACACTAAATACATATGTGCAATATATCTGTGTGTGTGTGTTTTCACATAATACCTTTTATGCAAAAGTTTGGGCACCCCTGATAATTATCATCATTTTAATTTATAATCTGCTGGGCTTTCGAAGCAGCAATTTAATTTGGATATATCTTATGGAGACAGTAGCATTTCAGTTCTGAAGTAACTTTTTTTTTTTTTTGAATCAATAGAAACAATGCAATCTGAATCATAAAAGCACTGAGGTGCAAAAATGTGGGCACCCCAATGGAATAATGGCATCAATATTTACTAGAGCCACCGTTTTTAAATAACAGCTTGTAGTAGATGCTTTTTATAGCCACTGATGGGACCCTGAATCCTGTCTGCAGGTATTTTCAGTAGCCCCTCACTGCAGAACACAAGATCCAGGGGACGTGGTTGGATCCACATCTAGGGGGTGGAGACGGGTAGGTTTAGGTATGTGTAAGGTGGGAGGAGTTGGATCTGGATCTAACCACGTGGATCTCGTGTTCTGCAGTGAAGACCATCTCGGTATTTTGAACCATTCTTCCATGCGAAATGTCATTAATTCAGTCAGGTTTGATGGCTGCTGAGCATGGGCATTTTACTAGTGGGGAGCAGGTTCTTCTCCTGGAACGCTGTTCTTTTTCCGCCATCCAAAGTGACCAAATAACTCTTTCATCTGTCCACAACACATTATTCCAAAATAATTCTGGCTTGTCCAGATGAGCTTTTGCATACCTCAAACGACTCTGCTTGTTGGCAGTACACAGAAAAGGCTTTTTCCACATCACCCTATCCACTGATAATGTCATCAGCAGCAAGATCTTCTTGGAGCTCTTTGGAGGTGGTCTGTGACCATTCTAACCATTCTTCGCCTTTGCCTTTCAGATATTTTTCTCGGACGAACACATCTTTCCTTCACAAGGGCGGTTCCTGTGGCCTTTTATTTTCTATATTTCTGACTGTGGAGGCAGACACCTTAAACCTTTGTGATCATTTTTTGTATCCCCATTCATATTCATTCATATAGTTTTTAGGTTATTCGAGTTCTTTTGAGGTTCCCATGTTGTTACTTTCAAGTAGAGAAGCAAAGCTAGCAATTAGCTACCTTAAACATCCTTTTTAATGACTGTGTGCAAGCGAGTTTGCAATGTTAAGGTTCATTGAGCCAGTCAAATTAATTTTGTGTTGCAACCAATCATTAAGCATAAGCATTACAAGCATTCAAATCAACACAACTGACCCAAACTTTTGCACAGCCTATTTTTCACTCAACTCAACACTGCGGCACTAAGAATTTATGTCTGGAAAACATCACATTATTCAGCTTTCTCTATAAATATCACTACGATCTTTTCTTATAAAGAAAGAGCAAATAATTATACGGCCTCAGAGTGTTGCCCAAACGTTTGCATAAAACTGTATATAGTTATATATGCACGACTTATATTGTGCATATATATTTATATGCACTATACACACACACATATATAGATATATATATATACACACACAATTTCATGGGTTTATTTATTAAATTTAAGTGTAACCTATACTCAAAATTACACCAAATTAATTTGTGCTACTCATTCATAGGGTCAAAATGGATATATTGACCTTATGACGTGACAAATAAATAATCTCTGATATATTAAAGCCTTGTAAACAAATACAGTCCCTCAGTTATGCCAGTAACGTTACTACAACCATATCCGCCAATGTTTTTTTATTGAATTTTTAGAGCTTGTACTTGAAACAAAATGAATAATTCCAGAATCAAGACAGAAATAATCTACCCAAATAAGAATTTTCAAGGTGAGCATCAGTTAAAATTACGCTCACCCACTTCAGCATTTTTAGAAAATAAAATAAAGCAATCTATAAAATTCCATTTTAAAAGTCAGTCCATCACAATATCCACAGAGACCACACATTTAGGATGTTACACTGAGCACACACAGACACCTGACCTGTTGCTTGTCAACTCTGAGTGAACGCTGTCATCTTTGGTGCCATTTCTCATTTGAACAGTCATAAGATGCAGGTGAGACATTTTGGTAACGGTGCAGACCCATCAAACACACTCGGAAAACACACACAACTAATGTCAAAAGTGGAGCTCTAAGCAATAGCTTGCTTTGCATTGAAGCATTTACAGTCCTGCATAGTTATTCCAACTTACAAACTAAGGCGTTTTATTGAAAGTCTTGGGAGTTCTTGTACTGATATTAAGCAAAACTAAACTGAACGTTCAAGTAGGCCATAATCTCATAATTTTCCTTTCACACATGATTCATTCATCCGTAAAAGAATGTTTTATTTTCTTTCACAAGGTCCAGTGAGATACGCAGCACCAAAGACAGCAAGACATCTGCACGCACAGATGAGAGGAACATCACACGTCCTGACCTCCAAAGAAAATATAGCACTTCATATTAATGTGTATTTTATATACATACCCATTTTATTCTACTAATATACTTAAACATCATAATATGTCCCTGTCAAAAAATTATAAATAATTTACCCATATGTATTATTAACAGCTACTATTCTAACAGTCTGTAGAAGGAAACGGTTGGACTGTCACATCCCTTTAGGAGTTCAACAAAAATCTACTAAGAAAATAAACACAGGAATGCACGTTTCCAGCCGACATGAACTTAAATAGAAATGATGTTGCTTTGTTTCGTACTCCTCTCACTTCCTCTAGCTCTATGTCCACAGTGATTAAGGTCGTGTAAACATGTTGACAAAAAAAAAAAATTTTTTTAAATGCACCAAGCTCACTCCAATCATCCAGAACACTGATCGATTAAAAGCAGAATGATGTTAACTGAAGAAGGGTCGTTAATGAAGTTCTGTCTGAATGAAAGCGCAATCGGTGTCCATCCACGAGAACCCGAAAACATCTGTCGCCAGCGGTGTCCACTTGTACATTCCGGTTGTGACCGTCAGTGGGACTTCCTCTTCGTGTCTCCCCCCTGACTTTGGTTTGCATCTGAAGAAAATCCAGACAAACTCTTTTGTCACGGTGCAGTTCAAATAAAGCAATTAGCCCCGTGAAGCCGTGAATTTATAACAGCTAAGGGGTGTTGTTAGGTACGACGCGAAGCTGTTATAAATTCACTGTAAACCACGGCTTCACAGGGCTTATTGCTTTTATAAAACGGTTATTCCAAGTACGTAGTACGGTTTCACAAAATAAAGCAAAGCAAATAAAGTGTAATGATATTGATAAAAACATTATTCTTCCGCTAAACAATGTAGTTCCTCAGAAACGGTTGTGGTTCCAACAAAGTGGTTGCCGAGCAACACACAGACGTAAACAAAGGTGTATGTTTGTAGAGTAATTTACAACAGCTTCGAACTTGGCTCAACCAATCAGAATCAAGGACCGGAACTATCCGTTTTATAAGATTTCACGAAATCTGCATTTCAAAATCACAGAACAAATGATCTGTTCCAAAACCCAGTGAGCAACATTTGCCAACGCAAAGGCTGTTCCAAACCACGAGCATGCCTTATAAAAGACCTCGTTTTGCCTCTAGTCTTTGTGGATAAAGCAATCCCAGAATACATTGTGACAAACTTGAGAAGTGAGGTGGTGGGATAATCAAAGTAATTCACGTATAGGTTTTATTTTATACTGAAAAGTATTTGACAGAAAATGGTTTGCTCTTAATAAAACAAATATACCAATTTCACTATGTGAGTGTTATTTATAGGTTTGGCTTAATTAAAAAAAAAAATAAATACTAGTGTGGGAGAAAAACATTTGGTGCAGGAAACTACATTTTTGGCGATTTTGGAATGTGAAAAATAATATAACTGCATTGTCATAGCTGCTTTTGTGGAACAGTTTATAGTCTTGTGAACAAATGACTCTTCTGAACTTAGTCAAGTACACAAACTAGTTTAAATGGGTCTAATGACTGACCTAGAAGTCACTACTTTCATCAATAACGCTTCACAATAATGTCATATTTGTTAACACGAGTTAAAGGGGTCATATGACGTTGATACCTCAGAAGGTAGCTGCCTATGTAGACAGCCATCAGCACACTAGGTTTTGGAACAGGGCTAATGTCACTCTAATGAAGCACAAAATAAAGGACTGAAACATGCAGAGGAAGTAAAGGAACGGTCAACAACCTAAAACTACGAGAGAGCAACAGTGAGCTGGAGGGTTTCGGCAGCGTTTACCTGAGAAAGCAAGCTGCAAGTGGGGAGGTAGAGCAACCTGAGACCCTGGCTGAAGACTCTTAAACAGATCTGGGGGACAGCAGGACAGATGGAAAGAAAGATGGACAGAGGGAGAGATGGAAGAGTTCACAGCAATCCAGGAGCAAATGAGACGGCAGGAATGCAGCACCAACACAGGATGCGAAGTGGAGAGAGAGGAAGAAAATTGAAAGAGGAAAAAAAAAAAAACGGATTAGGGAGACACGGAAAAAGACTCAAACAAACCACATTACAAACACGATACACGCTAACATACAAGCAAAACCCCAGCACAGGAAACACGAGAGCCGCTGTGCTCATGTACACACTCACTCTGTGCCAGGGTGTATCCTGAGTTGGTGGCAGGTGAAGCTCCCATGTTGCTGCAGCCAGGAACTCCAGGGCCTGGAGGGTTAAAGTTGAGGAATGAGGGGAACTGGAAGGGCAGAGAAACAGGCACTAGACCCCCGACATGTTGAAAAAAAAAAATGTAGACACCTGATTGCTGAATGAACTGTTTGGCAGTACACAATAACAAAACTGAAACTATATTTGCAAGCAATTTTTCACAAGCAATGCCAACTTAGCAACTGTTTCTCAGACAAGCGGTCACTCATTTCTATTGTTAGGGTCTGTGTGTTTGGATAGTCGATTAAATTAAATGATTTTATGGAAATTATCCACAAATACAGTGAAATGTTGTTGACAGGTCACTTACAATACTTACATAGGTACCCAGAGAGAATACAAGTGGTATTTTTCCAAATCTTTAAATAACATATGCAGATTAAACTACAGCACTATTCAAAATTTTGTGGTCAGCAAGATATTTTTTTTGTAACAAATGTAAAGTCTTTACTATTTCAAATAAATGCTGTTCTTCTCTATTCAAATAATCCTGAAAAGTTAGTTTTCCAAAAAAAGAAATATATATATTAAGTCGCACAACTGTTCTCAACATTCATAAAAATAAGAAATGTTGAATATATGAAATAATATTAATATATTATGACATTTTATGAATTCATATGAAATGTCATCACAGGAACAATTTACATTTTAAAATATATTCAAACATGAAAGTTATTATAAATTGTAATTATTTCACACATACTGGTTTACTGTATTTTTGATCAATAAATGCAGTCTTGGTGACCATAAGGGACCACCCAAGGGGGGGTTGTGGAGGTTTCCCCCTTGGTCCCTTGTCACTGCAGGAGTTGCACCACCCAGAGGTTCTGGGGGGAGGTCACTTGGTTAAAATCGCATTCCGAGGTCGCGGGGGACGATCACCTAGGGGTATTGTGACTGCCATACGTAAACTCCACCCCTTGTGATCTACTTAGTGACTGACTACTGAAGTCGCTTTGCATAAAAACAGCTGCCAAACGCATTCATGTAAAGTGCTACTACTCAGAGCTAGCAACTGCAGAAACAGGTTTAGCATGACCAAACATTTTGTATAAACAGGTTTGAAGTGATTGATGCTGCTGGACTCACCTGTGACAGATGAGAGGAGACAGGAGGAGAGGGCAGGGTCATGGCTGATGCCCGACTCGCTGAAGACTTGGCACTCTGACTAGTCCCTCCCACTGGCCTTTGCCGCTGGCTGTGATTGGCTGATACTGCTGAAGGGGAGGGGCTACCATCCTGGCACCCAGAAGACAGGGGTGTGGCCATCGGGGCGGTACTGGTGGTGTTTGCGCCAACACTGGGCGGACTACTGGATTTGTGTCCACCTGCAAAACTGTAACTGGCCTGTCCTGCTCCGGATTTGACTCCGGATCCCACTGCAGTTCCTTGCCCGGTAAACGGCGGCCTGAAGGTTGGAATCTTGGGGCTGTATTGGTGCGAGCTGGGGATCATTTGAGGCCTGGGGTGGGTGAGAGAGGGACATGATGAAGGCGAAGGTGAGGATGAAGGAGGAGGAGTAGGGGCAGGGGGTCGCGGTGTGAGTTTGATGATGGGAGAGCTGCTACTGTGGGAAGACTTGGTGAGCGTAGCCTGCATGGGCGTGATGAAGTTTGACTGGTTGTGTGGCAATGAGGGAGTCTTAGCCTGTGAGAGAAGGGTGGAAGGAGAGGAAGGGGTTGGAGGAGGAGATTGCTGAGGGCTCTTGGGGTTCATCAGTGAGGGTTGAGTGTTCATACGAGGCTGCTGGGAAACCACAGTACCGCCACCAGTAGTGGATTTGTTAGCGCAGTTTTTTGTTTGTCCAACAGGGGGCAGAGTCTGAACCAACTTCACTCCCATTGTCCCAAATGACCTCTGCTGTGGAGGCAAGAGGGGCGAGGCGGTAGGGGGCGGACGGGGTTTTGCAGACTGCACCGTCTTCATTCCTGAAATACCAGCTCTGTGAGTGGGCGTTCCCATGGGTCTCTGCACAGGCCCCCCATCCTTTAGCATCCCGAAGGTCTCGGCTCGCATGGATGAGGAAGGAGACGAGGTGAGCGGAGAGGAGAGGGAAGAAGAGGTAGATAGAGTGCTCATATTTGCCATAGAGATTCCAGAAGACACCATTTTTGCTGGAAGGGTGGAATGTGACAGAGGAGAAGAATAGTGGCTGACTCCAGAAGAGGATCCGGGGACACTGGGAGAAAAGGCGGCAGGAACGCCATTGTTTGGCGTCAGACCCTTGGCAGCATTACTGAGGAGAGCGAGAGCTTGGGAAATGGAGTCCAGAGAGTTAGCAGCCAGATCCTCGTCCAGTGAATCTGAGAGGCAGATGGGTTCAGAGGGGGAGGAGGGCGGTCTGCACGCTGGGGCAGGTAAGGCAGAGGTGGATCCAACACCTGGAGCGGGTCTCTGTGTCCAGCTGACATCCTGGAGCAGATCATGGGTAAAACAATGGCAAATAACAGAGCTTAGAAGTCTAACCATAGTTCAACCGAAGGACAAAACTGATGAATCTGCACTGTGTTAGAGTATATGGATGTAATGGTGCAAAACTGGTTCAGGTTTACATACCGTCATTTTGGCAGCTTTTGGAGTTGGAACAATCCTTTTCTTGCCCCTGTTGAAAAAAAACAATTCAGCAATCACAATTAGGCATTAAAAACCATTCAACATGATTGGAGTAGTTTAAAGACCTGTTCACATCAAGACGAATATTTGGTGCAATGAAACATTGTAATTTGAATGTTAATGCATCTGTTCAGACGGTCAACATTCGCATGGCTTCAATGCAACAGATTGCGATTAAATCTGACCAGCCAATAAGATTTGCACTTATGGTCACATGCCCAGAGCTGCTGCGGTTACATAAAACTACAACTTGGTGGCGCTCACAAAAAGGATTTTGCTAAACGACAGTGAATTGTAGAGGAAGAATCCAGAACTGGCTCTTTTTTCTCTTTACTTATGCATTTAGTGTTGTCTGATAAACACCATAGTGAATACAAAAATCTGAACAGCTGTTTGAAAACATGTAAAAACTGTTTGACCTCATTTCTTCTCTCTGATAAGTGAGTGTCAGAATCAGAAAGTTGCAGAGTGCTTTGTGCACAGGTGTATTTCTGCTTTTCTGTAAGTTCCACCAACAGTCATTTTTGTGCTTTGGTCTGAACAGACAAATCGCATACAAAAATGGTCAGATTTTCGTTCCAAAAATTTGTGTTGATGTGAAGCCTTAAAAGACAGATTCTCCACATGATCCCAGTGCCCTACATCAAGTCTGTACCTTTTTAGACATCTGATTTCCATTGCAAACCTTCCCTCTTTAACCTACGTAATCTACCCTCTCCCTCTTATTATTTGTTCAGCTCTGTGAGGTCAAATTACTTCAAGAACAAAATGACCAACATTGGTTGCTCATTCTCTCAAAATCCACTTCCCGACTCCTTAATCCACGTGAAAAACAATAAGGAAGTGAAAATACATCAGGTTTTTAGCATCCACCAAACACAAACAGGGCAGTGGAATTTTCTTCCTTATTTTTCATGCAGCACTGCCACAGAGATCAACTTAATTAAGTTACAGTGACGGCAACCCTAGAGTCATTATATTTTGTGTGTTAAAATTAAAATGAAGCCTATTTTAGCACCATAATTGTTGTATTTTGACACTAATTACACACAAATTAAAGGGGTCATATGATGCTTTTTTTAAGATCATTCATTTGTGTATTTGGTGTAACAGAATATGTTGACATGCTTTAATGTTAAAAAAACACATTATTTTTCAAATAGTGAACATTTGGGCAGCATTATGCAAATATTTCCGCATAGTGATGTAGATATGTGGGGGCGTGTTAGAACGAGCCGTTTTAGGGGGGCGTGGCAGAGTCTTAACTTTGATAAAGAATATCTCTTTGGTTTTGAGACATTAGTCTTTGCAACTTCAGGGATCTTATCTATGCACAATCAGCTTGTAACACTCCAACGAGAAAGGAAAACTTGAAATCACATCATATGACCCCTTTAAGCACATTTGGCCTAAAACTCAACATTGCCATAGAAAGCATTAAATTAAGTTAGAGGGACACCCTTCTAGACTAACATTAGGATATATGTGCTGTCCTCTAAACTAGGACATATGAGAGACCACTCACAACCCCTATTTATATTTCAGAATGTCTGCCATTAATTGAAATTAGAAGAACATCTATAGCATGAGTTGCTAGAAATATAACTTCTCAATGAAACATTAGAAAGTCACTTCAAGGGGTAAAATGAGTTATTGGGGAATGTATCACAATTTACAAAACAGTTCAAGTAAACGTAAGAACATAAATGAGTAAAAAGAATATTTACTAATGCACAATCCCATTACCAATCCTTATTTTGCTCCACATCATTCAGATTTTTATAAACCAGCCAGGAAAAAGAGATAATCAGAACATTTGAATTAAACATTTCCTGTTTTTGGATACGCAAGTTCATAATTCATTAGTATGATCACTTGCATCCTTCATTGCTAATCTTTAGCCAAATAATTTACATTTTTTATACATAAGCAACGAGATATATTTTTAGACCAAGATATATTTGCATTGACGTTAAACTAATTTAATTTGCTATATAGAAAATTCACTTTGCCTATTGTTTTTCTCAAGCACATCTGTTACACACAGGCTTGTGTTAATGATGGACCCTTTTTCAACCATCTTACTTCTCTCCCCACTATGTATGCAAACATCAGTGTAAATATATATGAAGATGTTGATCTACTCACAGGCCAGTGAGGTGACCATGTACTGCCCGACTTTCCTTAAAAAGCATCCTGAGGAAAAAAAAAAAAAAAAGGAAAGAATCTTTTAGTTACATGGTATCTTACTAGAAGAAGGTAACGCTAGCACATAGTCAAACACACACCTTGTCTGCATCCAGCCTTTGGGCCAGAGGTGCTTGACTTCATTCTCCATGAAGGCTTTGAGATAGTCCTCCACAGACAGAGAGCACTGCTCCAGCTCATAACAGCTCAGCTTCACACGCACCAGGTTACACAACAGAGTCCTGGGGAAGAAAGAAAAAAAACACACATGCAGCCTTTACTTCTTACACTGTCAGTCTATTGGTGGTTCTGCTTTATTATTCATGATTTAAACCTGCTAAAATCTAAACCTGAGTTTGTCATCCCATATGAACTTCTTCCTTGGTCCGATCACCCTCTTTCCTGGTTTCTCTTCATCATCATCCTCCGATCCATTCTTCTCTCCATCTTCTATCTGCTGCCTGTGACACACACACACACACACACACAGTGAATCTCATAATCTCACTATAGATCCACGCCATCCGTTTGTCATTTTCCACAGTCCATTCCACTAATCTAAAGAAGCAAATCATGAAAGCAGAAAGAGGCAGGAAGTTGGGAAAGTTTAAGACTTACTTAGCTGCAGCTTTTGCCATGCAATCCATGTTATATCTGGCGATCTGCTCTGGCATCACGCTGCACACGGCTAGTTTGAGCTTTAACAAGGGTGTGCGCAGCCGGTCATCCTGATTAAAGAGAAAGACAACACGGAGACATTTGAGAGATCTGAGTTGTGTATCCACTGTTGGGAAGCTGATCTAAACTATTGCCTGTCTTACAGTCTTACTGCAGTAAGCTAGCCATAATTTAAAGTAGTTAAACTACAGTCAAGCTAATCTGTTTGAAAATTGCACCAAATCTTAGCAGCATTTACAAGCTACTCACAAAAATATCTTACTACATTAAAGTGGTTGAAAGGGCCAAAATCTTTTTAAATGATATATAATTTTTATATTTATATATTTTTTTAATGTTATAATGTAGTTTAGCAACATTGCTACTTTTAGCTACTCCAACACTAGTATCATTAACAAGAACAAACATCTTTATGGTGTTAGCATAATATCTCGATACCCTATGGGAAAGTATCATACAGTCCTTCACCTGTATGTTGAGGCTGAGTTTTTTGAGTCGTTTTAGTAGCGCCTCCTTGTTGCAGGGCACAAAGGCCTCCAGGTGAGAGTACACCTCTGAACGCATGCCTGCCGGCTGCTCCTGAACCTGCAGCTCAATACTGAATGAGAAGAAAAATGATCAACGACAAGAACCAATAGACTAGGAGAAATTACCACCGAATCTAAAGTCATGGATGACAACTGAATGAGAACACGCTGAGATTTTACTTACTCCAGCAAGATATTATTCATATCCAGAGTGAAGAATTTCTTTCTGCCTGCTTGATCAAATTGCCTCGATGCCTGAGTTCAAATAAATACAACAAAAATCAAGTTAGGCAGGAAAATGGTATTACTGTCAGAACATGAATTCCCTGAAGTGTTTTTAAAATGGGAAGTGGATTTGTGGGCGTATATTTGCTCACTTGCTCTCACTCTGTAACTATGCATTTACCTTCAGTGAAAACATTTAATGTATTACATCTTAAACTTAGATGTAATGCAGTTTATGTAACGGGTGACTATCACCAAAAATATCCAGAGGCCATTATTATTATAAATTCATCTGCTCTTACAGAACAAGCTGGAATAGATTTTAAACCACTTTTCTGATGGCTTTAAAGTCATATTTTCATACATTTTATTCTTAGGTCTACTTATAATAACATTAGCAAAAGTCATCATTCATTTCTAAGACTTTTATGTAAACGCACCAACATTGCTTGCCCCAACAATGTGTCTCTGAAACGGATACGATCAGAATGAAATCATCAGGGATCTTGTTAAAAATAAACTTCAGTCGGCTAACATTAGAGACATAAAGAGTGTTTTTTCAGTGTGGAACGAGTAGATGGATTTTTAAGTTCTTAAAGCCCCAAGTATGGTTTCGACTCATTTCAAAAGATCAAGACTTTGTTTTTTCATGACATGACCCTGTTTAACTGAAATGAGGGCCGCAGAAAAATAACAAAAGCATGACTCACAGCTCGAAGGTCTTCTATGCGCTTGATCAAGGGGGCTGGAAGACCATCGGGGAGAGGTGGAAAAGAGATGAGCCCGCCCTGCCCTCGATTCAGTCCCCCTCCTCCAATCTTGTGCCCCATTGATGAACCCAACGCAACCTGCCCATTCTCTCTGCCTGAAGGGGGCATCTGGGGCCCTGCATCTAAAAAACTAAAGTCCAGGTCACACATGAGATCCTGAAGCTCGCTTTCATTGGCCGAACTAAGCAATGACATCATGCCGGGGTCAGCCGTCAGGTCGGCTAGTGAAAGGTCATTGTTGTTGGCGTTGCCTTGGAGATGGGAGTTCTGCATTAGGTTGTTGGAGTTGGGAGGGCTGGTGAGACCAGGGCCCGGATGAGAAGCACTGACATCTCGTTTCCGCATGTCTTCCTTCTCTTGTGTGAAGCGGTGGAGCATTGCAGCCAGACAGAGCGAATCCTTCATCAGTTTCTTCCTCTTCTTCTTCTCAGGACGATGAAGGCTCAGACCAGCCACTCTGTGAGCAAATATATGGCCATAAAAACTGTATTTCACTTTTTTTTACACTCTTTGGAAAGTCTGGCTTGCTTAAGTTAACACACTTCACTTTTAAGAAAAGTAGCAATTTAAATTGCATGATTTATAAAAGTATCAGTGTTACTAAATTTATATACACAAAAATAGATTCTCACCCTTGTTTGGCTACTTTGTTCTTCCTGGGTTTTTTCTCCTCTATACTGGTTCCATCTTTCTTCTTCCTTCTTTTTATTAGTGGTTCCTCTCCATCTCTCATCTACAATCAGAAAACACCATATTCCAAGACCAACGTCATAAACAGGGTCTTATGAAAAACAAACTCTTAAAGTGATAGTAATTCTGCTGTTACTCACCCTCATGTCATGCCAAACCCATAAGATTTTGTTAATCTTTGAAACACATGAGGATATTTTTATTGAATCTTGAGACATTTCTGTCACTACACTGAAAGACCATTCCATCAAAACTAAAAAAAAAGTTATAAAAACATTGTTAAAAAAAATTACAGTGTATGATTACAGCAGTTTAATCCAAGTCTTCTAAAGAGACACAATCACTTTACATGATAAACAGATCTAATTTAGGCTTTTATTCACATATGACATGTCAAACAAGCACGTTTGAGCTTTTGTCACCATATCTGATGAGCTCCATCAATGTTTATATGCGAATAAAAGCCTAAATTAAATCTGTTCATCATTTAAAGCGATCACGTCTCTTCAGAAGACTGTTTAAACCACTCTGTTCATACGGATTTCATTTGTGTTTCAAAGATGAACAAAAGTTTTATGGGTTTGCAATTACATTAGGGTGAGTTAATGATGAACTGTCTCTTTAACAGGCCTATATATCATTTAGTGGCCCCGTTTACACATGGTAACAACATCCGTCTGTGGCGATCTGATCACAAGTGTTCAGTAGAGACATATTATAAATAGAGGCGTAAATGGGGTTCAAATTGTTTTGTGATCTGCTCACTCAAACCACATCTGAACGAAGTCACATGCGAAGGGTTTTAAACTCTGATGATTTCATGCTCCTTAATCTGACCTGATTTGGAAAAGCCATCAGATACACACGTTTGTGTTAAGGTGAAAATTAAAACATCTGTCTCAACTGACCACTTCTGATCAGATTACCCAAGATGAACATTAATTACCAGGTGTGCACAGTGTCACTTGGCAAAAACAAAGTAAACACACCCTGGATTTGACTTCTTTGCCTCCATCCTCTCCCTCAGATTCAGAGGCAGCTCTGAACTGCAAAGTACCCATATTAATGTAGAATCCACCAAGCTTGGTGGTCAGTGAGGCTGGAACAAGCTCATCATACTGACAGGAAGAAAACACAAAGATTTACACCGTTTGTTGTCTGCATTTCTGAGGTTATGGCAAAGTTTTAGCCCGCTATGATGGTAAAATGACTCCAAAACCACACACATTTCAAATCAATCCATAAGGTAAATCTAAATATATTCATCACAGACATCAATATGAATGGGGAAAAAAACCCTTAAGTTCAGAGAGCAATGAGACCGAGTTGGCAAACAGCATGTTAAATGCCAATCGATCATCTCCATAGTGATGTCTGTCTGTTGCCATGGCAAGTGCCCACTCACAGCTTCCGAGTTGTCTATGAAGGGGTCACTCTCATCGTAGCCGAAGCCAATGTCAATCAAATCCTGCATCCGGTCTTTCCGCCTCTTTTTCCCTGCGTTACCCTGTAAGGACGTCAGCGGTAGCGGCAACGTGACATTTGAGTGCCCACACGTCTGAAAATGCAACGTAAAATCATAGAACAATACTTACGTATTTGCTTTCAAGCTTTTTGGCCAGTGCCTCGACCTCCAGACGTTCTCTCCCAGCATCGTTAAAGGGATCGTTCGGGTCCAGAGAAGACTTAGAATCTGGTGGATTCTTCTTGGCCTGGGGAGGGAAACATGAAATCACTCCAGTAAGGCTAGTTGGGGCATTTAATTTTTCCAGTTCGAATTGCTGGAACACAACGAGTACAACACATTCTGTATCAATATTATTCTGGGACATTCAAACTTTCAATTCATTCAAACTTAAAGGGACAGTCCACTTAAAAATGAAAAACCAGTTTCAGTTCCCACTGACATCCATTGTATTTTTTGTCCATACAATGAAGTCAATGGGAACCGAAACCAAAGCCGTGTTTGGTTATCAACAATCTTCAGAATATCTTCTTTTGTGTCCCACAGAAGAAAGAAAGCCATACAGGTTTGAAACGACATTAAGGTGAGTAAATGATGACAGAATTTTTTTTATATTTTTGGGTGGAAGCAATGACACTAAGACCGATAGATATAAAGTTTTAATTAATAATCGTTCTAATTCTATGAGAATAGGGAAGTCCACACACCACAACTATAACAATATATGATACAGAGACAATATCAATAGAATCACTTTCAAAAACATTAAAGACAATGACAGCCAATCAGAATCCAGACGACTTTTAAATAGCTTACGCGTCTAAAGCGGCAGACAACGTAACTGCAACAAATGCTTATAATAAACAGATCTGGCCTTTAATCAGTTTGTACTGGTGTTGCTGTAGACTCCATTGTCATGTTGTGGAGTAGTAGTAGTATTATCACTGATATTATTAATAGCAACTTAAAATGACACCGCTGATCATGTGATCGCAACATGAAGGCACCCATGAGGTGGCGATCCCATTTAATCTTTAACAAAACAGCTTTTTCTACAAGACTGATACAAGTAGTCTTTATCGCAGGTGAGTGTACACCATTTTAATGACATTTCCCAAAAATGACATTTATGTATTTATTAGCAAAACTTTTTTTAATTTGCTAAAGTGCACTTTTATCAAAAGCAAACCATCTGACATATGTCAAAGGCCAGGGCTACATTCATAAAAGTTACATGAACAGCACTTCAATGCAGTTAGCAGCAACTCAGCTCTCCTTTAATGATCTTGTACGCACAGGGCCCTGGGGGCCACAAGGGTCACGTACACAACAAAGTGCTCTAAAGTTTATGAGCAAACAGGATAGAGATGCGTCATAAAAAATGAAATGCACTTCTCACTCACTCGTAACATATGTCACACTTGCCATTTCGAAAGAGATCCCATGAAGAGGACTTTATTTTTGGCCTCCACTGCTAACAGGCTAATGCATAAGCAAACTCAGCATAAACAAGCAAGCGGTGGCTTTATAATAACAAGTAGTGGTTTGGCTAACGTTACATACTCTTCACTAAAGTGATCCGGATAGTTCTCGTACCTGTTGAGACTGGATGAGCTCGCTGTAGTTGAACTCGGCCGAGCGTTGCTCGTTAGGCTCGGACAGACACAGGTTGAGGCGTACTGTCTTCCCTTTGGGTTCTTCGCTGTCCCTCTTCCCGATCAAAGCCCCGCGGTCACCCGCTGTCGTCACCCCGGTCCCCATCATCTTCATCCTGCCCTCTCTGTCAAAACTCATCTCGGCGGCTCCGTCCTCCTCCAGCCGCCGTCTCCTGCCCTCCGCGCCCGGACCGCCGGCCAGGGCCGACAGGGTGACAAACTGCACTTTTCTCGGTTCGGCCATTTGGATGTTCAGTGTTCTTGGACACTCAGTCACTCACTCACTCACTCACTCACACTCAGTGGCGAGGCTTGACTTCGCCAAACAACTTGATTTAAAGAGCTTCAAGCCGGATGGACGGGGCGTTCGGAGGCAGTACTGATGCTAGAGTCCCCTCCGCACCTTACGGGGTGCGCATGGGAAGGGATGGCCGGGTGAAAGTTGATTTTGGAGGCGCAAGCATCCTCGGTCGCTACGCTCGGGGGACTCAAGAGCTCCGAACAGCCATCTTAGATGAGAGAGAGTAAATAAAAGAGCGGAGACGAGCGAACTGAGCCTGCGCGCACACGGACACCGGAAACGGCGTGCGCGACGGAGAGGTCGCCCTGGCCAATCAGAGGACGCCGCCGGCAGCAGCGCGTCCAATCAGAGGCGGCCCTGCAGGCAACAGACGCTCTAATGAGCAATTAGAGATGTTACAATGGAAAAAAGGATTCCCCTTGAAATCGAACTAATACATAGATATGGAACTAATAGAGGAGTTTTCCAACAAAATGCAGTTCAAGGTGTTTCCTTATTATACGTGAAGAGGTTCTGTTGTTGGATTTAAATAGCCCAGGAAATGTAATGTAATATAAAGGTAATACTTTACAATAAGGTCCCATTGGTTAACGTTAGTTAATGTATTAACTAATATAACTAATAATATGCAATACATTTGTCATAGTATTTATTAATCTTTGTCAACATTAATGAAAATACTACTGTTTGTTGTTAGTTCATTTTAGCTTAGGTCCATTAAATAATATTAACAGATACAACTTTTGATTTTAATAATGTATTAGTAAATGCTGAAATTAACAAAGAATAATAAAATAATTTTCATTGTTAATTCATGTTAACTAATGTTAACAAATGGAACCTTATTGCAAAGTGTTAACAATATGACAATACAATTTCTTTATTGATGCTATAACATCATATTCATTTTTCTAATCTTTTCTGTTAGGTTGTCACAACCTGTTTTAAACCAATTTAATAGTATTAGTCATTGATATCACTTGTTCCAAAGGTGTACAAACATCATACCCAAGATAGATTACTCTTCAAACAGATGAATCTTCGTAGCGCTCTATATAATTTTATAAAACCTATCAAATTAAAACACTTGCAGACATTTATTGTTCCCAAGACAAAACAATAAAGGCTTATGTTGCCTCAAGTATGGAAACATATCAACTTTATTTGTTGCATTGTCCATCTCACAGAAACATTCATTGACATGGATATATTGCAAATATGCAAATATTAAAAAAGATATAATGTAATAAACACTAAGTAAATGTTTTAGTGTGGCTGCACTTATTCTAACTTTATAAGAGCACAAGATGTTTTTTTTTTCTTTCTAAGATGCATCTGAACTGTGTACTCATATTTTGTTGACAGATAAACAAGCATAAGGATACCATACAAAAAAATTAATAACATTTACAAAAAAATAAATGTCCAAGAAGAACTACTGCAGTGTGTTAGCTCATTTGTAAATGCGATCAGAGAGCCACTCTGTTGTCTTTGGCCCATTTTTTCATGATGCGGATGATGTACTCAACTTGTGGGTTGCCAGTGCTCCTCAACATCGGCAAAACCTCCTTCAGTGTCTCTCTGAAAACAAACAAAGCAAATCAAAAAAAGAAAATATAAATATAGAAAACATGACCAGAGGTCAAAAACTCATTTTCTTGAGAGTTAAAGATGATTTAACAGAATTTTGCAAAACTTGAGTGAGCTCCGGCAGTCTATTTTAACCCTATAATTTATTTATTTATTTTATTTATTTATTTCAGGTTTATTTGACAGGGACAATGCACATCAATAATACATAAATGTACAATGTGCCAGAATTAGCCAGAATTGGACTGATGGTAAAATTGTCACCCTAAAAATATAAAGAATTAATCAATGCATAATACTTACATACTCCAAAATACATATAACATTCACACTATTCCTAAAAAAAACATCCGCTTAAAAGTTATACTACACACAGAACCAACAAATCAATACCAGCTCACTCATACACACAATCCAACTGTCAAACAAAATGACAATGTATCAATAATATCATAATATCAATATACAGACAAAGATAATGTAAGCATACAAACGAGTAACAGTAGCCCTAATCATTCAATCAGACCTAAACCAAACAACCTCATATACATAGCATCAAAATCTCAAACTAGTAGAGCAGAAAAGACAAGACAGCAGCAGAGTTTAGATTATAAAATTAATGTTGACCATGCTGACTCTCAATTAACCACTTCTTTAAGTGAAACTTAAAGGAGGCATAAGTATTAAAATTTGTAATGTAAGTTGGGATGGAGTTCCACTCACGAGCAGCCCTAACTGAAAACACTGTTTGACTAAATGCACTTTTTCTTAAAGGGACTATGCAATCACCTCTTACTGCACTTCTCGTTAATCTGTAACCAGATGGTGCTACGTTTACAAACTGATTCAATACAGGAGGAGCCAGTCCATGTCTGATTTTATACATAAGACAAAGATCTGTATATATAATAAAATTTTCCCAACTTAAAATATATATATATTTTTTTTTTATAAATATCACAGTGATGATGGTGTATGGATTTCCTATCTAAAACTTTAAAGGTTTGTTTATATAAAGAGATAATTGGTTTGAGAGAAGTATTATTTGCTTGTGACCAGGTTGTCAAACAATAGGCGATATATGAGAAGATCATCGAATGCATAAACATCTTCGCAGCCGCACAGACATGCAGTTACGGGCATATCTAAAATTTGCCAAGTTGAACTTAATGTGATTGAAAACCTTCTTGATGTGTGTTTTAAAAGTAAGATTGCTATCAATATATACACCCAGATATTTAAAATCTGAGACAACTTGTAGTCTCTCCCCATCTATGACTACATCTCCGCACGGCAACTTTTAGTTTTACTGAAAAACATACAGTTTTCGATACATTTAGTTGTAAGCAATTATGTTTTAGCCATTCTGTGATCTTAAACATTGAACTTGTTAGCTGATCAGCAGCTTGAGCTGCAATATTAGCATGTACAAAAACTACTGTGTCATCAGCATACATCTGGATGTTGGAATTGAAACCAACATTTGGCAAATCATTTACATACAGAGAAAATAAAAGTGGGCCCAAGATTGAACCTTGCGGGACACCTGCTGACAAAGAAACAACACCTGATTGATAATTCTTCACTCTAACCAACTGAGACCGATGTGTTAAATATGATTCTACCCATTTAATGGTTTCATTCTAATGCCTACTGTATTATATTTGATACACAAATTTCTAAGGCCTCTAAATATGATCACAACTTTGCTGAAAAACCTGTTGTACTTAGTCTACCACATGCTTTCAATGTCTGATTGATAGTTTATACTCTTTTAGCAAGTAAAAAAAAGTAAAAAGTCTTTTTGTTGTAAAATCTTGCATATTTTTGCTCAGCTTGAGCTTGAATAAAACAGAGGTGTTTTTTCCTCCTTGAGTGTGACTTCCACTTTCTCACTATATCATACTATATAAGCAATAGAAGCCTGATATATAAAATATGATTCTCCAGAAAAAACACATATGACATTTTTAAATAATTTTTTGTCTAAAGGTTCAATAAACTGTTCCTTTTTTTTTTAGATTTTTATGACTATTATTTCATATGCTAGGCTTTACTGGGTTAAATGCAGAACTAATAAGAGTCTAATAAGAATTTAGTTTAATAATCTGAACCAAATGATAATGGCTTTTAAATTGCATTTAACACATCATTCCACAGGCATGTCATTGGCTCATACCTGGACTCTCGGCCTGCCAGTATGAGCTGGAAGATCCCAACACATGCTCCACGCTTCCCCTCCCAGTACTCAGGGTTTTGATCCAGTCTTTCTAGAGCATCAAACGCTTTGGCTGCATAATAAAACTGCCCCATCTAAAAAGAGGTCACAGAATAAATATAAATAATCTATTGAAACCTTCAGAAGAAAACCTTGTGGGGGGATACAACAAACATAATCAGGGCTGTAGAAACAACAGCCAGAAACTTCTGACAGTGGTCTGAAGAAATAGCAATGGTAAATGCTTATCCCATTATGGCTAGCACTCTACTTTTAACACAGTGTCTTTATCCTTATAAAAAAAACAATTAATGACAAGCTGATATATGAATGAAAATATGTTTACAGTCACGACTGGCTAAATTACAATCATAATATTGCACCTTGTAGCAGTCATTTGCAATGAGCTGCAGGAGGCTGAAAGGGTCAGATGAGGTTTCCAGTCTCAGATAGAGCTCCCAGGCCTGTCGAGCCTTCTGATTCATAATGTCTAGAACAGAGGAGGGAGGATGACATAAGAGAGCGAGTGGTCGATGCGTCTACAGAAATGACTAACCAAAAAGAGTTGACATGTAAAAGACGCTTCCAAAGACTACTCAAGTCATTCATCTTCATTAAAGGCAAAACTGAATTCAACTAGCCTGTTGGCCATGGTTCAAAACTTTCAAAGAGATATAGGAGAACCTACAGCAGCGTGCCAACCAGCTCAGGTAAACGTAATCATTCTTGATCTTCTCATTCTGGATGAGCAGGAACACCTGTTCACATTAAATTCAGATTTAGTCATACTTGCAGATGGTTCCTAAATCATATTTACTGAACCACGTTTGTTCTGTACCTCTTCAGCCTCCCTGTAGTTTCCCAGGGCAGCCTTGGCCTGAGCGTAGTTAAAGCTGAATGTGTCGTCGTTGTAGAAGTAACTCTACAGGGAAACAAGATTGATATTTGATGCTGATGTTTTAATGCTTCTGCTTTTAGTCTAAACACTCTGATGTGTGTATTACCTTGACTGAGTTGAGATATATAAGCACATCCTCAAACTGTTTCAGCAGGAAGAAACAAGAGGCCATACTCTGCCTGCCCGGTATTGTGTCTTATATGAAAAAAGACAACAGAAAATAGATCATTAAATGTGTTTTACATGTCCAGGGCAAAGGAAAATGCATCCTCAGTGATGCTAATGTACAAAACCTACGTTTTATTTATGTGCTATGTAGCAAAACAGGTACAAAATGCCAACGGGTACAAAATGAACACTCGACAAGTACCTAGTAATGAAAAAAAAATCTTTGGTGAGTAAATAAAGCTATTTGCCAGTCAGCTGGTGACTCAAGTGGAAACTGCAATGTGTTTGATCACACACACACACATAGTACCGGTACATATCTTTTTATTTTATTTTACAGAACAAAAGTAAAATTGCAATACTAACATTCATGGTTGTCCTAATTTCTCTCCTGTCAAACATT